ACTAAAATCATAAACGTAGATTAGCACAGGAACACCTAGGTGGCTCAGTCAGTTGGGTGTCCAACTCTTGGTTTTAACTCAGACCGTGATCTCATGGGTCTTGAGATCAAACCCTGAGTCAGGCTCCATGCTCAGCAGGGAGTCTGCTTGGGGATTGTTTCCCTCTGTGCCTCCCCACTCTGAAATAAATAAATTAAATCTTAAAAAAATAGACTAGCATTAAAGTACATATGAGGATCCATCTGTCTTCTATTATTAAGCCAGGCATTAAAGAGATTTATAAAAATATGGAATAATGCCAGTATTCTCACTAGTTTGGTGTTTTTTTTTTTTTAATTTGTGTTTTTTTGCTGTGGAAAAGTTTCTTTTATTTTTTATATAAATGTATTATGGTTCAGTTTATTATGTTTTAAGTGAACTATAAATATTTTTTATATTTCTCAGCTTTATTTTCATCGTGGTGAATAGTGATAGATATAGCCCACATAAACAAAGCTCTTTGGGAGTCCTCAGTAATTTTTAGAATACAAAAGGATCTCAAAACCATGAAGTCTGAGGATGGCTGCATTTAGCCCGTGTCCATTTGTCCTCCTGGTTGCTGCAACTTGAACTACAAGAAGTTTTCCAGACATATCAGTTAGCCCACAAGAGTAAATTACAGTTGAGTTGCTTTTTTCCAAAGATCTGCTCTTCACTTTCCCTTCCCTGAGGTAAAAATAAAAAGCATGTCATGTTGGGTAATTACAGCATGTAAAAAGTGGAGATGTCGACTGTGTTTTATCTCTCCCCCAAGGCCCATTTTCTTTCCACCCTACTGAAAATGCTTGAGTCTTGGAGAGGAGCCCATGGTTGCAGGCTGCCCATTCTAACCATCGCACTCAAAAGTGATTTCATGCTGAGACAGGGGTTATTGGGGACTCTGGTGTACGGCAGACAGTATTATTTGTCAGAGCCATTCTCTGGTCACAACCATTTTTAATTAAAGTTGTCCTATAAATAACTTATATTCATTTCCTCTGGATCTCACAAGTCAGTAGAGACCAGGAATGATGAGCTTAGGTCAGGACATCTAGCCAGATGAGGTAAATAGAGAGTGAGTGCTTGAAATAGAGCTTCAGGGATTCAGGACTACTACTTGTTAAGATAAATGCATTTCCTTTCCAGAGAAGGTGGAATTTATTTTAAATAAACACCTAGAAGGTATTTTTCTTCTTTGGTGGTGGTCCCTGCTCATTTTTTAATAAGTAGAGCTAATCATTCCTTGTAATTTACAGTCCAGCAAAAGGAAAAGACAGATATTGAAGACATTTTTCATAGAGCCCAAGTCTTGAGACTGCCCTTGGATGACCAAGGGCACACGGATGCCATCACTTGCTCTTGACACACACGCTCTTTTAAATCCCATTACTTCTTTGGACCTTGAAAATTGCATTTCTAGTGGAAACCCAGCTCATAAACCCCCAGTAAGAGAAGTTTTAGATGAAAAAGATGATCTCTTTGGCTCTCTGAGAGCAACAAGAAGGTGGGGGGAAAGTAAAATGAAATCAGGTGAAGGAGGAATTGCCCTTGAAAACTCTTGTTGACTGTTATATTTGACTTCGCCAAGTCAGAATGTGAAGACACTGGTATTATTCTTTTCAGGAAAAGTACCTTTCAGTTCTCTCACAGTTCTCCCACATTACTTATAAAGTGGTGTTTCTTAGATCTGAAGTAGCCACAGATTTTTTTCAAAACATCTTTATGTTCTACAGCTGCTGGATGTAATGCATCCAGCATTCTCAGGCATTTGGATCATGACAGGTGTCGAGGAGCTATCTCACCCCAGGTCTGAGTGTCACTCCTAGCTGCCCTTGTGGTTCTCCCCCCATGACACTGTCACAGTACATTGTGATGTCGTCTTCCTCTCTGCGTCCCACTCGACTTTCATGTCAGGATTGTGTCAGTCTTGTTCACTCTTCTGTCTCCCCTGCGTACTTGGCACATATATGGTGCTCACAAAATATCTGTGGACAGGACAGATGGATATCCAAAAGTATAATTGTTTCTTTTGATGCCAGAGACACCATTATTGCCAGAAATACTGCTTTTATGCAGGGCTTATTCAGTTCCCTGTCCACCAAAAACCTAAATTCTGTTACCTCTTCCCATGTAGCTGTAAGATATGGGCCACATCTCTTAGCCACTTTGTGCCCAAGTTTCTTCATTAGTTAAAAATGGTGGCAAATTAGTGTCTCTTTAGTATATTTCTATTTATTTATAAGTCTAAAGTATCATTCTTTCCAGCTCTAATATTCTTTTATTTCCTTGGCTGAAAATCTCATCCATTGTATTTTTAACAGTTGGATGGGTTTTTTTTTTGTTTTGTTTTGTTTTTTAAGTTTTGATTTTACCATGACTATGTTAGTGCGTTTTAAAAGTACCATATAGCATAGAGAATTTGATCCTTTTAAGACAAAGGTGACATTAAAATCGAACAGTAACACTTGTGGAATGGTAACACAGGAAACTTGAGATCTCTAGGAGCTGACAACCCAGCTTTGGATTAGCCAGGGTATTCTTTTTCTGGTTGCCTCTAGGATATGAGGTGTTTATTGACTTCTGTTTCAGAAGATGATTAAGAAAAGTTAAAAGAAGAAACACCTGGGTTAGTTAATTATTTCTCATTTAAAGCTAACTGAAGAGCTCTTGTAGGAAAGGAACTTGAGACTCCTGGCTACTCGGACAGGGCCACGACTCCTCATGGGGCCACAGGAGCCACTCTAGGACTCCTGAGCTCAAGAGAAGCTGTACTTCCCTTTTTAAAACACCGCTGTCATTGGGTTGTATTTATTAGTTCACTTGTTTTTGAGCCCCTGATAGAGGTATTTTGTTCTCTTCACCTCCCTGTTTTGGGATCTGTCTCCTAGTGATACAGTAATAATGCTAACACTAACTAATGATCATAACAAGGATATGGCTAAAGTGACAAAGGGCTGTGTGCTAAGCATTGTTCTACGTGCTTCACATATTTTGATCCATTTCATATAACAACCCTATGCGATAGGTACTACTGTTATCCTATTTTACAACTGGGCACGTAGAAAAGTGAGGTCACATAGATAGTAAATGGTGGGACTGGCATTCCAATGCGCGTAGTCATGCACTGGCAGCCCACTGCTTCATCGCTGTGCCACACTCTCTGTAGGCCTTGCAGTAAACATGTCCTGAGTGAATGAGTAAATGAGAAGTATGCAGTGGTACTTGGTAGCTATTAATATGATTAGAGTCTTAATAATTTGTGTCCTGCCTATCTCTAAACACACATACACAAATTTGTTGGTCCTACAGTGAATGATAGCTTCATAAAGTTTTTCTTCCCTTTAATAGATTGAAAGATTATTTTGAGATTTGAGATTTTTATTCTTTAATTTTTCTAAATTAGACTCTGTTTGGCAATCGAAAATACATATACTTTTTAGAAACATGGATCTGCATTTTCGCTGGACTGTGGCTTTGTAATTCAAATAGGTGAAATTTGCCAAATTCAAACCACACCTTGTTTCCTAAATGGTACTTAAATGTGTGGATTCAAAGAGATGGCCTTAGGGGCACCTGAGCGGCTTAATTCATTAAGTGTCCAACTCTTGATTTCAGCTCAGGTCATAATCTTGGAGATGTAGGATCAAGCCCTGCGTCGTCAGGCTCTGGAATGCAGAGTCTGCTTGAAGATTCTCTCCCACCCCCCCCCAGCAACTCATGTTTGCACGCTTGTGCACATGTGCGCTCTCTCTCTCTCTCTCTCTCACAAATAAACAAATAAGTAAATAAAGTTTCAAAGAAATGACAGTGGTCCTTCCACAGAGAGTCAAGTGTCTTTACTTTTCTGGGTCAAATCAAATGGAGGCTCTTTGGCTTATAACACAAGGCTCAGTGCATTTTTATTCACAAGCCAAAGGGGTCACATTTGAGAAAATTGATGCTGTACATTCCCTTGGTGTGTGTCTGGTTGAATACTTAATAGTAGTAAATGTGATAAAATTATGGAAAATGCCTACCCGCAGAGCATATTCAAGGAAAAGTTGCTATGTGCTTTACACCTGATTATTTCCTTTTACCTGACCTTCCCAGCAGTACCAGGAAACTGTGAAATTGTTTACTCATGAGTAATTGTTAGGACCTGGGTAGCTTTGATTCATTAAGTAGGTTTTACCTTCTATATTGTGAAAGAATGTGTAACCCTGTGAAAAATGTACCTAATAGCTAGTTCAGAATTACTAGTGTGCTAAAGCAAATCTTTAGAAGAAGAGCAGGACAATTAGGAAGATGTGGCAGTTGATCTGGGCCTTGCCACAGTAATAAGAGTTAGAGGTCTACCTTTGGAGAGACGTCTATTCCTATTGGAGGATATGGCTCTGAAATGAAAACACAGGTTGACTAAAAGAAGCAGCACACAGTTGGGTGGACTCTAGAACTATTTTGATTAAAGAAAGGTCAAGGCCAGTTCCTCCTGTAATCAGCATCAGTCTCCTTCTTTCCTCAAAAACCTCCCCAAATAAACCATGCAGAGTATGTAAAGAGAGTGTTAGCTCTGCCAAGTGCAGCTGTTAGATGGATGTCCCAGGCCTCCTTGGCTCCCAGTCAGATTGTCACCTCTCAAGATATTCCTCTGTGGATGTGTCACTCATTTTCACACAGAGTTACTGGGGTGGAGAGCATCCCAGTCAAACAACTATTTGAGGCTTTTTCCAATTGCAGGGCAAATCCTTCTACATGTCCCTTCTTAGTAAACATCTGCTTGTTTGCCCTAAAGGAACTAAATAGGAATGGATATGAACTGTAGGAATTTGTGCCATTGGTACTGACTTTAATTCAAAATATGTACTGTTTGATCTTGGTGCCTGTTACATAATAGATGCTCAGTAAATTGGTTTCTTACTTTTCCTGTTCTATTATTCAGTTTATTGTTGTTGTTGTTGTTGTTTTGAACTTTCTCATTTATTCTCCTTTGTTCTCTTTTAAAGGAGAGATTTAAGGAGGCTGAGGAGATATACCTGGCTGGAATAAAGAGCTGTCCAGACAGCTCAGACTTACACAACAACTATGGGGTTTTCTTAGTTGATACTGGTGAGTGAAATTAAAGAGAACCTGTTCCATTGAGATGAGATAATACTATCTATCAAGCAAAATGGCAACCACCCAAATGATGTCTCTTAAGTAACATCACTGGGCTTGGCAGGAAACTCACACCGTTGACCATTACATTGTACTGTGGGCTATCATTTCTCTAAGTCTTCAAGTTCATCTCAGTAAAATCCACCCAGTTTGTATAGCACTCAGAAAAACTCCCCACATATTAGAATACTTGCTGATTTAATGAGTAGCAGGCTTTTGAGTATCATTTAGACAAGTCCATTAATCTGTGATGATGAAACAGTCCTCAGCAATGATACACGGCTTGCCTCTGAATCTACTTACCAGCAGATGGAAAATACTTCTTTATGTCTGATTTTAAAAAGGCTCCAGAATTGTTCCATCATTCTTTACTTGATGTAGATTACAGAAACTATATTATTATTATTGATAGACTGCTCTTATATGACAGGTGCTATATAAAATATACTTACTCCATCTTATTTAATGCAAAACTTAACTGGATAGGGATTCTGTTTTCTTTATGATTTGTGTCCCATCTACTGTTGGCATGCTATGAATACTTATAAGGAATCAAAAGGTAGTTGAATTTAATACAAAAACACTGTTCTATTCTCATTGACTATTAGGCTATCTGCCTTGTGATAAAATTAGTTTAATTATCTTGTCAGTATGAATGCTCAAAGGGGTTTTTATTTTCTAGTATATCTGAAACTTTTCTGTTTAATAGAACGTAAATTTACATTCCAAAACTCCTAGGAAATGACCCTTATATTTACACGTAAAATTGTTTTGTAGTGCCACCTGCTGGTTTCTTAGCAACACACTAATACATTAGGTGTCCTGAAGATATAAAAACTGGAAGAGACCCCCTGTTGATCTGGTCTTCCCTCTTCCTTCTACCTCAACAACAAACAATGCTACTCCCCTAAAAATCCCACTGGCTACCCTGTATATCTTCTTGCCACTTCCTTCATAGTCATGTATTTTGTACTGGTGGAAATTCTCCCTATTACCAGTGACCTGTACATAGATCTACACAGACATAAAATCTTTATGGTGCGGACATCCATTCAAAGAAGGTGCACTTGAGAACGTGTCTGCAGGTCATAAACATTCCATTTCATCTAGAACTTCAGACCGTTCTACAGTTCAGTCACTTAGATGTAATTTCACGAGGAAGCTTCTTTGGGGAATCTCACCAGAGGCTTGATTCTAGTTCTGGTCTTCATCCTCAGTTGCCCTGGGATTTTTGTCAGGTCTCTTAAGTGCCCTTTACACTTTAGTGTCTATAGCTTTAAAGCAATACCTTGATATATTTTGTAATACCTCTTAAGTACCAAGACACAGCTAAAGGGTAGCAAAAGGCATCTAAATAGGGGCACCTGGGTGGCCCAGGAGGTTAAGTAGCCAACTCTTGATTTCAACTCAGGTCATGATCTCAGGATTCTGAGATCAAGCCCCACACTGGACTCCATGCTCAGTGCAGAGTCTGCTTCTCCCTCTCCCTCTGCTCTTCCCTCAGCTCGCATGCTCATGCGCGCACGTGCTCGCTCGCTCGCTCTCTCTCTCTCTCAAATTAATTAATTAATTAATTAATCTTCTTTTTAAAGAGTCAGCTAAATTGTGTCAAAAATACCTGTAAAGATGGGGCGCCTGGGTGGCTCAGTGGGTTAAAGCCTCTGCCTTCGGCTCAGGTCATGATCCCAGGGTCCTGGGATCGAGCCCCACATCAGGCTCTCTGCTCAGCAGGGAGTCTGCTTCCCCCTCTCTCTCTGCCTGCCTCTCTGCCTACTTGTAATCTCTTTCAAATTAATTAAAAATCTTTAAAACAAATGCAAGGTGGCATTATTACTATTTTTTAAAGTCCCATTACATAAATACCATTTAACAAAAATGTCTGATTTTAAAAAAGATAAAGCAGTGCCCTGATTACTATATTGTGGTAGAGTAATTTCTAAATGCTTAGAAATAGTTTCAGGACAGTTTTTTTTCCTATAATAGCCTATCTATTTTTTCATATAATGAGAAGTAACAGTATCTTGTATAAACAACAGTCACTGATAATCTCAAAACATCATATTAGCTAGGGCAAAGGCCAAAAAACACTTGGGCTAAAATGCTAGACATTAAGAAAAAAGCAGATTTTAGGTTTTATTGCCTTTTTTTATTATTAATTTCCTTGGAACTGGGAATGAATAGTAAAATGGTCCAAAGCTACACAGTGGCAAGGAGACGAAGCCAAAATGCAAGCTCATTTACAAACTGAATAATTGATGGTATGACTCAGTAATATGAAGAAGAATGATATACATCAGAAGAGAAATTGAAGAGCCTCATATGTTGTATAATTAAGTCTTGCTGTGCTCTCACCAACCACCCCTGGCTACAGGCTCTCCAGAGAAGGCAGTGGCCTATTACCAACAGGCCATCACACTCAGCCCAAGTCATCACGTGGCCATGGTGAATCTGGGGAGGCTCTACAGGTCCTTGGGAGACAACAATGCCGCTGAAGAATGGTACAAACGGTAAAGTTCCTTTTCTTCACTTTGTAAGTTGCCCAAAGACCTTAGTAGCCACCCTTCCAATTTTTATGTCATCGGAACAGACATGCTCTTAGAATAGTAACCGATTTTGCCAATTCGGGCAATCCAGATTCTCCTCTCCAAAGAGACTAATGCCAAATACTAATTGGTATCTTAAGGGATGGCTTAAAGTCCTACTGGTTAGAACAGCAGGTTAGAACCTGGGTTAGAACCAAGGCTGGAATTGTTTTCTGAGGCTGCGGACTGCAGCCCCCGCCACAAATAGCAGTTTCGAAAATGGATATGGGGGGCAGACCGTGCATGCATGGAACCAGCCTATCACCATCAGTGGGAAAGATCCTTGGAGCTCAGTCTCCATATGGAGAAGTCACTAAAGACATTATTATAGTTAGAGGGTGGCAAGACTGTTTTAAAAACAGTCTTCTTGATTATAAAAACAGAGACCACGTTGGAGAGTCTCAAACCATGGACCATCCTCCTTAAACCTGCGTTTCGCGCTTTCAGAATGTACCTATGAGAATTTCAGTTCACCTTTCTAAAAACTCAGGGCCCTACAGGTGGCACGCAAAGCAGAGCTATTATCACCTTTGGGAGCGCTGTATTATAACACGGGCCGGTATGACGAGGCTCTGCAGATTTACCGGGAAGCCGCGGCACTAGAACCTTCTCAAAGGGAGCTCCGCCTGGCCCTGGTGAGTGCGTAGGCTAAAGAGATGAGCCGGACATGCAGTGTGCCATGCAGGGAGCTGGGTCAGAAGCCCCAGAATTGGAACTAGAGCACTACCATAGATCCATTTTCTGAATACCCATATAGCCAGTGTGGGAGCCATTCACCAAAGACGTAGACACCAAAAAAGTTTTTTTAAGTTTTTGGTTTACTGAATAGCTCATGTATCCCCTTTCACCCAGCTCTATCCATTTTTAGTGTTTTGATGAATTTGTTTATCATGTATGTATGTGTTTATGCATCCACATATGTACATATGTGCATATTTATGTGTGCAGATGCTTAGTGTTAATACGTTTAATTTTTTTTTGTGAACCATACAAAAGTTACAGATCTCATGCCCTTCTTTTTTTTTTTTAAGATTTTATTTATTTGACAGGGAGAGGGAGATGCAGGTCTCCAATCCCAGTACCCTGAGGTCATGACCTGAGCCGAAGGCACACGCTTAACCAACTGAGCCACCCAGGCGCCCCGCCCTGTATTTCTAAATACTTCAGCATACAGTCCTAAGAACAAGGGCATTCTCTAACATAGCTAGAATATGGTTCTCAAATTGAAGAAATTAATAATCAGCAATATTTTTAATTTCAATTTTTGGAAATGTGCATTTTTGCCACTCTTCTTTAGATCTGCAAAAATCAATCTTATCTTTTTGTAAACATGACATCCTGTTGAAACCATATGAAATCATTTCTTTTGAGATAGTCGAATTTTTTTAAAAGTCAAGTCATTTCGTTGATGTCTTTGGTGTCCCTGCTATTCACACACAGTGCATGCATATGCCTTAAATAATAAATAAACAAATAAAATTTTACACCTGTACACTGTGGGAATTCAGCTCTCTCTCTGAGTTGCAAATAGATGCTAAGCATTTTTTTTCTGGAGTGTCTCTGGAATGCCTGTTTTCAGAAATGCTTTGTTTGATGAGGTGATACCAGTGTCTCCTAAGCCAGTTCAATGTGGTTTTGCAGGCTCAGGTTTTGGCTGTGATGGGTCAGACAAAAGAAGCTGAGAAGATGACCAACCACATTGTGTCAGAAGAGACCGGATGCCTTGAATGCTACCGCCTGTTGTCAGCAATCTACAGCAAGCAGGAGCTCCACGACAAGGTAGGGAGCACACTGGAATTGTTTGGATTCACAGGTAGAAAATGAGGTGTGCCTGAATGATTCTCCAGTCTGCACATTTATGAGGCTGAGCAATCTTGAATGTCATCCATTGACATATCCTATCTTACGGATGCTTTTCACAGTTACCCCCTAATTCTAATATGTCCCCTTGAAACAATACTTTCTTGGTTCATCCTTGGTCTAAAGATTTTATGTGATAGCATCTCAATTTGTTTTCACCTAACTAGATATAGACTAACATTTGTATGTTTCATCATTTTCTATCTTCCTTCAAATATGTTATTTATAGAATCCTTATAGCAGTCTTTATACAGGTCAGTGACCTTGTATTTCAACTATTATTGTTTATCTCCATTTGAAAAGTTATGTGACTTGAATTTATGGAGCGATTCAGTAAGTACTTATGGAATGCCTGCTATATGCCAGCCTCTGTGGTAGGTACCAGGAATAAAGTAGTATAAGAAAAACAAAAAAAATCACCTTTGTCCCAATGGAGTTTATAGAAGAAGAGGAAACCAAGATTAAACAAGCAGTCAAAAATAAATGTAGAATTAAAGCTATGCTCAGTAATGTCATGAAGAGTGTCATGGTCCTAACAAGCATGTTATTAGGGACCTACGTGATCTGAAAGGTTAGGTTCCCTGTGGAGTGATATGAAGGTTAATGCTGAATGATAAATAGAAGTTACTAGATGAAGGGGGGCAGTGAAAAGCATTGCAGGCCAGTTAAAGTATATGCAAAGGCCCTGTGGCAGCAGCAAATGGCAAGTCTGAGGGATGGGCATAAAGGGAGCAGAGCACTGTATAAGATAATGGCCACAGAGTTTGTTGAAGACAACACCCCACAGGGCTCGGGACCAGGGCAAAGGTTTTATTTTTTATCCTTGGAGAAGCCTTGGGCTTTTAAGGAGAAGAGCAACAGGGTGGAATTTGTGCTTTGAAGGATCCCTAGCTACAGGGAGTGGGGCAGTGGGTGCTGGGGGCAGAGTGGGTACCAGGGACCTAAGAGGAGGCTGTGTTTGGAGTGGTCCAGATGGACAAAGGCAGGGCAAATCACCTCAGGTCTTGTTTTCTTTCATCTTTATCACCGACTTCCCTGTGGACTGGTCAGGGACATGTCATTGTCACAGTATTAATGGAAACCCTGGAGTATAGGAAAATTATTTGTCAGAGCCACATTATTTCTCAGTGAGAACATCAGAGAGAATGAAGAATGTGTTTTGATTGTCATTTACCGCACCAGCTAATACTTAAGGACAAAAAGTATAAATATTATCATTTAAGTTAGTTTTTCTTCATCTCATCTACATTCTGTCTTCCTGTTGGCAGGCACTCGATGCTATCGACAAGGCTCTCCAGCTGAAACCAAAGGACCCAAAAGTTATATCTGAACTTTTTTTCACAAAAGGAAACCAACTAAGAGAGCAGAATCTTCTGGATAAAGCTTTTGAGGTATAAACACGTAATCAAATTATGTTATTAAATTAAGAGATTAAAATTAGTACTCAATTTTTACTGAAGCATATATAGTAAAATTTAAGATGACTGGCATGTTTATGGAGTGAATTTTTTGATTAATGGCCATGATGTTACACGTTTAGTTTGTATAATTGACTATTCTTTAACTATTCAGAGATCTGCAGTACCTCTGCATTATTTTCTGAATTATCACCTTTAACTTGATGTTTGAAGCAATGCCACATTATTCCCTCAGTTAGTTTCTCACTCTGCTTCTCTCACTCTCTCTCTTGGCCGGCAGTAACCCTCTAGTCCATCTAGAAGAGTATCTAAATAGCTTTGGCATTTCCACACATCCCCCCAATTCCTCACAAGATTCCCTCTCATCCACTAACACATAGTCTTCCTCCCTCCGGAAGCCCATCTGGGTCTTGCTTTCTCCCAGTGTCCTCGCTTCCTGTGAACTTTTACATACACCATCTCTACAAGTCATTTGAAAGTATCATATATTACATTGTATTGTTAGGCATCTTTTTACTCTCCCTATTCTCTCCTCCTTCCCTGACCCCCACCCCAATCCTCTGTGCACAGTGCCTGCTCCCCAGTTAGATGGGACTTCTTGTATAAAGGGACTGCTTCCTTCCATGTTCTAAAACATAATGCCTTGTGCCTTAGCGGCATTCAATATCTACAGCTCTCAAATAAAATTTGTATGTAGTTTGAAATCAAAAATAATAATAAATAAATAAATAAAAATGTTATAGATATATCAAGCATTTCTGGTAAAGCCACAAGGTGGAATTAATGAAGTCATAAAATTATACTAAATATAACATGAGAAAAGTAAAATTTTAAATGATATTATTGTTTCTGAAAACAGTGAGTGACTTTCAAAATATTCAAAAACAGGTAAAGATATTTGGGAAAACTAACTTGAACATAAACTCTTAAAACAGTGGCATATTTGAAGGGGAAATTGCGTATTTTTCTGTGCCCTGTGAACATTTTTTAAAAAGCTTTATTTATGTATTTTAGAGAGAGAGAGTGCTCAAGCAGGGGGAGGGGCAGAGAGAGAGGGAGAGGAGAAGCAGACAACCCCCTGAGCACAGAGGCTCAATTGCAAGACCCTGAGATCATGACCTGAGCTGAAATCAGGGGTCAGACACCTAATTAACTGAGCTGCCCAGACCCCCTTAGCCTGTGAACATTTTAAATACCGTAACATGTAAGCATTTTAAAATGACAATTTAATGAATATATAATTTAATTATGAAGTTATCTGGTATCTGTATCATATACATTGTATTAAAAACAAACGTATTTTCCAGTTGCTTTAACTATAAATCAGATAATCATTTTAAAGGGACTAGATTTGGGTGCTTGGGTGGCTCAGTCAGTTAAGCGTCCAACTCTTGATCTCAGCTCAATTATTGATCTCAGGGTTGTGAGTTCAAGCCCCACATTGGGCTCCACATTGGGTGTGAAGTCTACTTAAAATCAATCAACCAATCAATTAATAAGTAAAGTGGCTAGATCTATGACAGATAGGAATAGGGCTATGAGTAGCATTTTTATTTATGATTTACACATACTAAGTAATTTGATCTTCTCAATAGTCATATAAGAAAGCTATGGTCATTGTCTCCATTTTATAGTTGAATAAACTGAGACTCAGAGGTTATGTAACTTGTTCAAGGTCACAGAGGGTAAGAGATGGAGCTGGGATTTGAATGCAGGTTCTTAATTTCTACCCTACACTCTCATCTCTGTTGATAGAAATTAACCTAAGAGACACATTCTTCAGGTTTATTTTACCAGCTCTTTAGAAGTGTAGTTTCTTGTTATTTGCTTGTTTCTCTTAAAACAGGAGGGATGGACCAGATTCTGTTTACTTTATGAAGCTGTTCATCAGTGAAAATAGCAGAGCATTAAAATAGACACACAGATACTTAGCTTTGTAATTGAAAGCAACACTCATAGCCATTAGCTTTATTTAAGGTGACCACTCTTAAATTAAGACCCAGTGGTGATATAAAACAACATGCAAAATATTACCAGTATTGGGGCACCTGGGCGGCAACGTGGGTTAAGCCTCTGCCTTCGGCTTAGGTCATGATCTCAGGGTCCTGGGATCGAGCCCCGCATCGGGCTCTCTGCCCAGCAGAGAGCTTGCTTCTCCCTCTCTTCCTCTGCCTGCCTCTCTGCCTACTTGTGATCTCTCTCTCTGTCAAATAAATAAATAAAATCTTTAAAAAAAATATTACCAGTATGCCTCACAGATGCTACATTTAATGGGATACACGTTTCCAGACCAAAAGAGGTATTTGAGAAAGAAGTAATTCTCTTGAGACATATGAAGACCTGTGGCAGAAGATAAAGGAAGGCTTTTTAATGATTGAACCTATCCCCTAGGAAGATAGATGTCCTCAAGGAAGGAATGAGCATCCTGTCACCGCAAGAATTTCGGTATAGGCTGAATAACCAGGCCAGTGTTACTGTGAAAGGGCTGAGCTACATAGGAAAAGATTCTAAAAGATTCTGTGATCATTGAAAAAGTATATTCTTACAAACTCCATTTATAGCGAAAAAATCCAAAAGCGTTTTCTTGCGGGTCAAGGCCAGTGAGAAATGATGCACTATAATAAAATCACCTGGATTCCCTGCAGGCATCCTCAGTCTCTGTGAGCAAATTACACATTTCGGTTTCCTCCACTTCCCAGTCATCAGTTTTGAAACATAATTGAAATAAACGGGAACACCTGTGAGCTAGTTGTGTCTGGTTTCATTGTGTTAACCATTTACATTCTCACATAGGAAGAAAGTGATTTCCACAGTCCTGTAGCATTAAACGTGGGTTCTCCTTTCTCAACCTGAAAATGTTTCTTGTATATTTAGAGCTATAAAGCTGCCGTGGAGCTAAATCCAGATCAAGCACAGGCCTGGATGAACATGGGTGGAATCCAACACATCAAGGTAGGAGAATAATTCATTTCCAAGGGATCTGGGTTTTTCTTTCCATTTTCTCTTTCTGTCTTCTCTCAAAAGATTGAGAAAATATTGTTAATTCCCTCTTTGAATTATTTAAAGACCAAAAGCCTTATATGTTTAAAAGGGAAATCAGCACAGATTATGTTCACTTTGTTTTTTTATCCAGATACTGAATATCATGAAGTCATTTGAAAACTAAGTCTATACAAATTATATTCCATGATTTTATTGAACGTAAAGAAAACCATGTGTACCTAAGAGAAGTATCATCATACAGCAAATAAAATCTGCCCCTTGTTGGGGCTTCCTGGACCTCATTGTCCTACAGCTTAACTCATGGTCAAGAGTACAGTGTTACTTTAAATATTACTTTATTATTTCCTGTACCTAATGTATCTTTTACTCCCTAATCATTTACTGAAATGCAAGGTTGTTTATTTGTGGGTTTGTTTTTTGTTTTTCCAAAAGGAAAAGCTATCTTTGAGTGAATCATCAAAAATGACTCTTGGGAAGGCTGCTGCCTATAAGTAATGAACTCAAAGACTCGCTATCATTCATTCATTCATCCATTCATTTGACATGTGATGTACATGTGATGGGCCAGGTACTCTTTCTTCAGGCACTGGGAATAGAACACTAAGTAAGACAGAACTTTCTGTCTTCATGGAGCTAACATTTAGTAAAAGAGACAGGCAATAAATAAACACATCCATACATACATCTATATGTAAAATATATCATAGTGCTATGGAGAAAAAAGAGAACGGGGATAGGAAGTACCGTGAAGTAAGGGCTGAAATTTAAAATTAAGGTGGTTAGGGAAGGTCTCACTTTATTTTTTATTTATTTTTTTTAAATTATTTATTTTTTTATAAACATATAATGTATTATTAGCCCCAGGGGTACAGGTCTGAATTGCTAGGTTTACACACGTCACAGCACTCACCATAGCCCATACCCTCCCCAATGTCCATAACCCCACCACGCTCTCCCTACACCCCTCCGCCCAGCAACCCTCAGTTTGTTTTGTGAGATTAAGAGTCTCTTATGGTTTGTCTCCCTCCTGATCCCATCTTGTTTCATTTATTCTTTTCCTACCCCCACCAAGCCCCCAACGTTGCATCTCCACTTCATCATATCAGGGAGATCATATGATAGTTGTCTTTCTCCGATTGACTTATTTCGCTAAGGATAATACCCTCTAGTTCCATCCACATTGTCGCAAATAGGGAAGGCCTCACTTTAAAAAGTGATTTTGAGGGCTGCCTGGGTGGTTCAGTGTGTTAAGCCTCTGCCTTCAGCTCAGGTCATGATCTCAGGGTCCTGGGATCTAGTCCCGCATCGGGCTCTCTACTAGGCAGGGAGCCTGCTCCTTCCTCTCTCTCTCTCTACTTGTGATCTCTCTCTGTCAAATAAATAAAATCTTTTTTTAAAAAAAGTGATTTTGAGTAGAGACCTGAAGGGGAAAAGCCATGTGGCAAAACAGGGAAAGAACATATGCAAAGGTCCTGAGGTATGAGAGTACCTGCTGTGTTTGAAGAACAGGGAGGAGGCAAGTAAGATGAAATGGTAGAATCTGGAGTCAGAGTTAAGTCACAGGGCAGGATCATGCAGAGCCTTGAAGGGGAATGCAGGGTTTTTGGCTTTTATGCCATGCTGAATGAGTTGGGGTCCTTAGAGGACTCTGAGCAGAGAGATGCCATGGTCTGACATGTTTTTAAAGGATCGCTCTTATTTAGCTAACCTATTTTCAGGCTTCTATCAGTCTTTATATTAATAAAACAGTAATATAGTGATTAGCATTTAAATAAAAGCCCAATAGGATTTACTATTACGTGGAAACTGGTCACTCTCAGAAACACAACAAAACAGAAAGGTAACTCGTGATTACATAGCTGGAAGGGGATAATGTGACTGAGAGTTGTGCTCTAATAGAGGAATAAACAGGACATTTATCAGAGCAGAATATCCTGAGCTCTGATCTTAATCATCTCCCAGGGTGTCTAGCAATATGAACTTACTTAAGCTTGATCATAAATCACATGGAATAAATTTTGGAAAAAAATACCAGAAAGAAAGGGGACACCTGGGTGGCTCAGTCAGTTGAGCGTCTGCCTTCGGCTCAGGTCGTGATCCCAGTGTCCTGGGATCGAGCCCAGCATCGGGCTCCCCGCTTATGCGGGAAGTCTGCTTCTACCTCTCCCTTCCGATCTCTCTCTCTCTCTCTCAGTCAAATAAATAGATAAAATTAAAAATATTTTTTAAAAAATACAAGAAAGAGGGAGGGAGGAAGGAAGAGAGAGAGATAGAGAGAAAGAAAAGTAACGTAATTTTAAATATTTAAATAATATATTAAATAGTTATATTTTAAAATAATATGTTCAATATGTTTTTAGATGACATGGGCCTGCATTTAAAGCAGTGGGTTCAGTTGTTAGTTTAAAAAGTATAATAAGTAGGAACACCTGGGTGGTAAAGTTGGTTAAGCAGCTGACTTGTTTCAACTCTGGGTTATGAGATCCAGCCCCATGTTGGGCTCAGAGCTCAGCATGGAGTCTGCTTGGGATTCTCTTTCCTTCTCCTCCGCTCCTCCTGCTCATTCTCTCTCTCTCTCTCTCTCTCTCTCACACACACACACACACACACACACAAACAAATCTTTTTTTAAAAAGTACAGTAAGTACACTCAAGACTTTTCCAAAAAGTCTGGAAATACAAGTAGAATAGTATGTTCATTGAATTCTCAGATTAACAAGTGAGTCCGTTGCTTTAAATTTAGAGGTACTTCCCCTGAAAAGGTATCTGGAGATTGAAGAAGGATCTATTGAGTATATTATTTTGAAATGTAGTGAACACACTAACTAAAAATTATTTTATGTGGTTTTTCGTCTTTGCAAACATCATGAATTAGGCTGAACAGTATAAAATTGCTATGTTTGTAATTGAAAAATCATCTAATATCAGTAAATTCATTATGATACAATCCAGAATAAGTATATAGACCGGGCACATGATTTGGATATGGTCATTTAGATGGTACCATTAGGATGCAAGATTATTATGAGGTCCTGAAGAGAGAGTGGTCATTATCTTTCTCTTTGCACTGCCAGGTAGTGTGTCCATCAGGTGGTATTAGCTCTTTCCAGGCTTCTCTCCTTCCCTGAGCCCAGGTGAAACTTAGGGTACCAAGGGCTGTGGTAAGGTTGCAAGTTAGAATAAGGCTTTGCCAGGTCATGGCATGAAGAGATGAGAAGGGAGTTGTCTCTTTCTTATACTGCTTGATAATAAAAGATAATTATAATGAAGCTTCATAAAGGATGAAATGGATGGACCAAAAAGGCTAAAATACATTCTTTATAATCAAAGAGTTCTATCAACTGGACCACATCACCACATAGACTACAAAGTACTATTTTCAGTACTGCTGTATGTGCATTTTCATGTGCATCATACGGAACTCTCCATGGTGTCAGAAGTGTTCTATAGCTGTACTGTCAAAGGCAGCAGCCACTAGCCCATGTGCTTGTTGAGCCCTTGAAATGTGGTTAGTACAACCGAGCAACTGAATTCTTAATTTACCGTAATTGATGGAAGCTTAAATAGCCATGTGGAGTTAGATAGCACATTTCTAGAAATTAGGTAATTCAGATTCCCTATCTTAGCATCTCAGAACTGGGGACACTGAATCAAGGGATATAACTTTAAAAAAAAACAAGGCTTCCAGTTTAATCAAGTAAAGAGCAATTTGAGGGAGAGAAGATAACTCTAGCAGTAGATTTTACGTGAAAGGACAAAGAAAGCTGGTAATCAGAGAAGGAAATGCCAAGGCATTGGGCTGAGGCCTACATTCAGAGAAGACTCTCAGCAGAAAAATTTCAAAGTCGGCTGTAATATAAACATATTTTGAGAGCACTCAGTTGTCTGCACATGTGTGCTAAGCCTAGTAAACATCACAAGATACTTGGAAGATAAATGCTGGAGTTGATGAAAAATAATAACAATTGAATAAAGCAAATCCAGGGTCTCACCTCTTCAGAATTCTGTTTAGCCTCTTAAGAGAATCAGGGCTAATCAGAAATGTTTTCTGATTTGTGCATGTGTCAGAACCTGGATTCCCAAAGTTACAATTTCCTTTTCTGTCATTTCCACTCTCCTTTTTACCAATATGACGAGAAAGTACTGTAATAAAGGGATGGTGTTTACTCAACCCTGGATGGTTGTTTAATAATGACAACAATGGTAGCATTGGACTGAGGACTCACTATGTGTCAGCCTGTCTGAGCTCTTAACACACATTAGCTCTTTTGGAGGATAGTTAAGCGTTCAGTAAATATTAGTTGCTGGTTGCTACATAGAACTCTCACTTAGAGATGCTATTTTAAATTGTGTTGGGAATTCAGAGAGTAACTGGTTTTTATCCGCATGGAGCTGTAATGGAGAATAAAATAGAGCAAATTGAAATGCGGGGAAATGAAGATAACTCTTAACACTCAGAGTTCTGAGACGTGGCAGGACACAGATGTGAAAGAGGGTGAACCAAATAAGGAAAGTAAAATTTAGTAGCAGAAAAGGGCCTGGAAAACAATAATTATGACTAATTTGTCTGGAACCATCTGGAACAGGCACACGTCATTTCCAGTTAGAAAGCCATGGAACAAAGCAGATGGGGGCCAACAGAGGGTGATGACCGGTATCTTTAGCAGGTCAGGGGTGCTATGGCTTCTTTCCTGCTTTAAGAGGATCCAGCAGGTTCATATCGTCACATACCTTAGGTAAATTTGACTCCATGTTCTTATCAGTTCTTTTCACTTTATAAAAACTTATGTTTACATTAAAGCCCATATTAGGTAAATCTTGCTTCTGTGTTAGTTGGATATTAAAATAACTTCCACCACTAAATAGGTCTAGCAGATTCCAAACTATTTAATCATCACTACTTTTGAATTTTCCCACAAACATCCCTCCCTTTCCTCCCTCCCTCCTTCCCCCTCACCCCCCATCTCTAGCCATGGCTCCATTTGATTACTAAGGAATAGTACCAACCCCACGAGAGCCCTTTGAAATGATAGCCTCATACCATACATTAGTAGAATCGAAAATCTGTTTTTCTGCCATTTCACCTTACAGTGTAACTCTTATCCTTCACATTCTCCAGCTGGCCTGGTACTTAAAACAAATGGATTCTCCAAAAGCACCAAAAGATAAGGATAAAATTACCCATGCAGACAGAGTTTCCTTCTGAGGACATTCCTGTTAAACTTGGCCAGAAGGTCTGTCTCTTAGTCTCCCCATTCTCCAAGAGCGTTCTGATGGGTCAGACTATAATTGTCATCTCTCTTTTTCCCCACAGGGAAACTATGTGTCCGCAAGAGCTTATTACAAGAGAGCCTTACAGCTGGTTCCAGACAGCAAACTGCTGCAGGAAAATCTTGCCAAGTTGGATCGCCTAGAGAAACGATTACAAGAAGTTCGAGAAAAGGATCAGACGTAGCCGTGTTTGGCCCAGTCTTGAGGGACAGTGCTGGTGCTTCTGGAAGAGGAAGAAGTGTTGGAGGCCTTCACCTCAGCAGGGGCACAACAGAGAAGCTTTCCGCTCGCTCTGAATTTGGGGAGGCACGTTTTGGGATGCCCGCTGGTAACCGCTGGTAACCGCTGAGGGACTTGCATTTCCACGGAAGAAGACAGTAAGCAAGGGCTCCATCTGAGAGGAAGTAAAACAACTACTACACGTTTTGCAGATTTTTGTTGGCTTTAATTCCAGATTTCCCTTCATCTGTTTCTCTGCTTTTCCAACCTAAGAATCTAATTCCATCTCAGTGTAGACTTTTATGTCCCAGAAATACAGAGGCTTAAATGCTCTGACGGCAGAGCAGCTCTTCCTTGTGAGATGAGATATGTCATAGAGGAGACAATCTCTGGGATAAACCATCTGGGTAATTCCACCAAGAGGTAGCTCATTTAGTTCTCCAGAACTAGAAATGAGTATCTAATAGTTTTTGTAGAATCTTCTGGAATATTTGGGGGAAAGGGTGTGGTTAAGTGAGCTTTGTCTAATATCCCCCTGAGGATATTGCTAGAGCCCAGTTGAAGAGTGAATTAAATTCACTCTGATGCAAGCTTTTCCCATTGCCCGATTCAACAAAAAGGAGGCTTCTGGGATTGTGTATGGGTATTCTCATCCCTGGGGGAAAATCAAGGATCTTGGTTCCTCTAATTTCTTTATGGAAATGTTTAAGATTATTTTAATTTTATTACAAGTATTACTAGAGTAGTGATTCTGCTCTAAGATTTCAGAAGTGCTTTTAGAATCATAAATGTTTCTGACTCCACATACATTGTTATTTTGGTGGAGAAAAAAATAGTATATTCTACATGAGAAATATTAAAGATATTAACTAAGAGAAATGCTCTACTTTATTATCTTAACATTCAGTCATCCAGAGATTTATTATTTTTTTGAAAACTATATTTAATCACTGAAAATGCTATACAATATATCACAAAAATCTTCATAGGCTATGAAGAGGATGGAAGAGAAGCTCTATTGATTTGTCTACTGAAATTTAATGAGCATTCTGTGCGTTAGAACATGAGTGATGGAAATCCAGAGTTCTTGGTTCTGTATTTATAATATTGGAGAGTTCTTGGCGAATGCTCAAAAAATCTAGGGGAGAAAAAAGTCTAAATTCATAATTATAAAAATACATATTTATATTTAAAAGACAGAGGCCAGCAAAGTGGAACTTAACAATTTGACATTTGTTTTTAGTGTTATTTATTTTGTAACTTATAAAATATTTAATATATATATATATATACACGCAAATTTTTTTCTCTGTACATAGTGGTTTTAATAGCAGCTTTCAGAACTGATCATACAGAAATCACAAATCTGAATTACAATGTAAAGTTTTAACAGCCCCTCAAAAAATTTGTATTGATGATTCGCTTGCCAAAGCTAAAGAAATTAGGAAGTGGAGTTCATTGTTTGGGTGGCAATATATTTTGAAAGTGAAGAAGTTGGAACACCTGATTCTAATTTGGTCATCATCATAAATTTAAAAAAAAGAAGAAGAGGAGGAGGAGGAGGAACCACTCTGGAGAGTGCTGTTTGCAGGCTAAGCCAGGTGGCCTACAGATGTCATAGCCCAAAGGTGTGTGGATTTCACTTGCTCAGGCCAGGATAGGGTAAAAAGCCTTCTTCTTTTCAACACTGCCCCTGTGTGTTATGTTTTGTCAAGGTAAGTCTAGTTAAAAGAACTTCGCTGTAAAGGGATGATGCAAGGCATATTTTAAATGCAAAGGATTCCAGAATTTGAATTAACATACATGTGTTTGTATGCATCAATAATCCAACAATGTCTATATATTGCCACTGTGATCTTCTGTTTCTAGTAGTCTTTTAACCTTATATGTCATAAATTTGTCCAAGATTTTCTTAAAATATTTTCATTCTCCTCAAAATTACACTTTTATAGTCCTAAGGCCAGGAAATGTACCACAGTGTTCATTTTAAATTATCAATCCACCCCCAAATTGGGGGGGAAAAAAAAATGAAGCCCTAGCTAAAAAACAGTATCTGAGACTTAAATCACAACTTTTTAAAATAATCTGTAACCAAGACTCACACCTAAGAAGTTAACAGAAAAGACTAAGTCCCAGATTTTGAAAAGCAATTAATGCCTTACTTGAAATGCCGCTAAAGGTATGAGAGTACATTAGTGAGAATGGTTGAAATGGCGTTTATAGCCTAAAAGTTTCTGAGGGAAGGGGTCACATGGCCTTCAGGAGACTTGTTCTACCTTCTTTTGGGTGCTTTTCTCTCTACCCATGTCTGTCTGTCTATTTGTCTCTCTCTCCCTCGCTCCCTTCTCCCCATGCCCCTTAGCCTCCCTTCATTCTGCCCCCCACCTCACACTGTCACTCTGGCTCATTCTGTGCACACGCACTGGCATCTCCTTGAATGTGAAAAGTAAGCACCGTTTGTTGGGTCAGATATTTTTATCTGGATTTAATAATGCCACTGAGATGTAGCCAATGAAATAGTTTTCATAGTTAAATGGTGCCTAAAAGAAAATAAATAACATGTTATTTTTCAAAGATATTAAGTGTATTTTATAACTATTTTTATTTGGTTCTTGTAACATGAAATACTATGTGGAATTCATTCCTATCAATAAAATCAGAGTGCCGTGGCTAGTTGTGGACATACATCCAGAGTCCCTTACTAAAAGTGTGCTTGGCAGGAGAGTTGCTGTCCCCTTTCTGAGATGGAATGGCAGAGCTGGCTTCATGGGCCTGAGGTTCATGTGGTCCCTGGGGGTCCTGCTCTCAGAAGGCCCCTGTGCTTGGTTGAAGGCCCTGCTTGAAATTCTTAATAATTTTGAAAGAGGGGTCCTGCAATTCCATCTTGCACTGGATCCTTAAATATGTAACGTGTCCTCGGTGGGAGGGAAGTTGGCTGAGGACAAGACAGGAGATGCTTTAGTCTGGCTGAACACTTGATCCGGTGATGAGAGTTTCATTTGTGACTGTGTTCCTCTGAGCAACACTCGCTTTTTTTTCTCAGCTACATTTTGAGTCCCTTGTGTACATATATCCCCCGTGTACTGCCAATCTAACCTGTCCTTCTATCCTACCTAGAACCAGTCCTCCTGGCCTTTAAGATTCCCATTAAGTGGCAGTCCTTTGATATAGGAGCCATGAAAATGGCTTTACAAGTTTATTTCAACCTTAAGAATTCTTCAGGATTTTTTAAGTGATCCAGATGTTTTCCAGCTGTTAACAGTATTCGTAAAACACAGTTTAGTGATGTAACGTTAAGTAAACCAAAGATTCAAATACCTTGGAGGAAAAGAAATTTTATTTTAGGGAATCCTGAGATGTATATATTCTTTTGGGTCTGTTTGTTTTGAAGTTCATCACAAAACAAAGACAAAAGCCAGCACTTTAATGACAACCTCCTATAGTACGTCACAGCCCCTAGCATAAGACTGACACTCATCACAGGTCATACCTCACTTGATGGAGGGGTTTGTAGTGATTGTACTGTACTTCTCAACAAGACTAAATGAGAAAATCCAAACTATTCTTTACCAACCGACCCACAGAAACTATAATTTGAAGGAATAAAAATGAATGTGTGGTTTCTTATTGTCTCTACTAAACATTCCAGGCCCCTCAGATCGAAGAACCGCATTCAGCTGATAGTTAAGAACTGTTCCTTCACACACAGGGGCTCTCAAGCCGGGTGGGACTGCAGGATCACCTGGGGCCCTTGGGCAGTCTCTGAGATGCTGGCTGCCTAGTCCAGATGCTAAAAATGCAGCGAGACTAGAGAAGTAGGCTAACAACTTTAATAGAACTTTTATGACTTTTACCATGTTTCTCCATTTTTACTTTTAAATCTAGACTAAAATGAGCCAAAGAATTCTAAAAAATAATCCATGGCACAGTTGATTGTTTGAGACTATTGTTTCAAGTTTGACAGGTGGGGTGGGTGGGGGCAGTTTCCACTGGTGGCAATTGGACTGTAATTTGACCTCACATTTTCAGAATTCTTCACTCTCAGATGGAGAAGAATGTGTATACACCAGACAAGGCACCCAGTATGTAAAACTCATTGGCGGTGTTCATGGCGTAGAGTGTATGCCTAGACTCATGTCTCTGTTTTGATTACACACGTCAGCTTTTGTTAATTATTTCTTCTTGTACTCATTAGAATCTGTTTTTGAGGGGAAAATAAAACATTTGATCTCATGTGTGAAGGATGTGCATCTTAGATTAATAAATCTATAGGGTATTCGTAATGACAGAGCAAATGTAGTTATGGGTAGTTGGTTTGTTTTTAATTTTTCACCTAGTTTCCAAATCACATTTACTTTGATTAAATTGCATGTTGGTATCTCCCAATAATAGCAAAAGGCAACTATCTGACACCTCTTGGTATTTTAAAAGAAGAAATACCTGTCAAATCTTGCATTTAGGCTGCAGTTGAGTAAGATAAAAGCTCACAATGCCAAATATATAACATAAATTTTTATGATTCTTCTTGATGTTTTGTTGTAAAAGAAAAATATGTTGAACAGTTCTTCAAAAAATAGAACTTCCTTCTTTCTTTTTGGTTGTGGTAGCCATTAACTTCAAGAGAAAAAGTATCTATAATCAAAGGAGTTCTTTAATATCAGCAAAATAAGACAACAAAATTGATAATTTTCATGCCTATCAAATGGCTCATATAAAAATGTGTTATTTTTGTCACCAAAGATCCATTCAGCTAAAACCTTTTAGGGCATGTAGCTCATAAAATCAGCATCCATCACATTAGTCATTATTAGATCACCATTTACCCCAAGATGGAAAGATTAATCTATGTCCAGAAACCCAAGAGTTTCTTCCCATTCTCAGTGGTGCAAATGGTATATATTTATGTCATGTTTGGAAGTTTCCAGTGTGCATAACATCCTTTTGGGGTTGCCTTGCTGGCCCAAAGGAGGGGTGCCCCGGTCCCAGAATCAAGAAATCTGGGTGGTAGGCCTGTTCGGCTACAGAGGAGCCGCCCCACCCTGGGCAGGTCACCAAGCCTCTCAGCCATGTCTGTCACCCAGGGAGTGACTGGTTAGTTCTGTGAAACTAGCAAGCTCTGTGTGTCTCCTGAAACCAGACTGAAAGCCCTTTACCTCTGAAGAGATAACTGATTAGTGTTGCCCTTCATTTGAGAAATTAAGATAATCACCGCCACAAAACACACAACCATAAGTGAGTGCACTGTCCAAGTGCTTTCATATTACAGAGATACTCTTATTTTGCAGTCTATACACATAAAAATTGGTCATTTTGTTATGTGTCAGGGGGAAATATTTTTAAAGATTTCCTTCAAAGGAATTAATCTGTAGAAGCCATGGCTTGCTTTTATAATGTGGTAAGCATCTGACTTGGTGACTCACGCGGATCCCTCCTTTTATCAGGGAGAAAATGACTTGCATTGTGTTCTTTGTTCATGTTTCTTATTTCCTACTTTGATCAGTTATATATAAATGTACATTTTGTTACTTGTGCCAGCTAGAAATATATTTCCCGTAAAGTATTTCTCCCATTTAAGTCTGATTATGTATGCTCTGCTTAGGTCTTTCCAAAATGAAATTTATGTAAATGTGTATTTTATATAAAATATAATGAAAATAATTATGTCTGTTTCAATCTCTCAAGTGCTCAGCAATTAGTACCCATTGAAACCCATGTCGCTAGCTGACATGTGTCAGCTTTAAAAGTGTCTGCTTTAAAAGAAAGAAATCTTCCTTCTCCTATTCATTCATTGCATCGCAGTTTTGTGTGTTTCCTGTCTGCTCTCTTTCCCATACCTGCAGTGACTGTTTCAGTCCTTATGTGCTCCTGATCTCTTCCTCTCATCTTGCTGAATAGATGCCTTCAACCTCTCTGCAGAGCATAAGTAAAAGGTAGAAAACATATTCTCTCAATACACTGCACTCTACTAACTATAAACTTCCCTGTACCCAATTCTTCCCTCCCCTGTTACGACAATGGAAAAGGGACCTAGGCTCTGGATTTTGCCTCTTGTGAGGTTTCAGTCCATCCCTTCACCTCCCTTTTTCATCTTTAACTTCTTCCTTCTACCGGCTCATGTGAATTCTATTCTATTTTAAAACATGGATACAGGTAACCACCATCAAAATCATTTGGGAAAGAAAAATGTAAGCCCTTCCGGTATTTCTTTTCATCTCTAACTGCTACCACATCTCTTTGTTCCTTCTCAGCTGAGTTATTTGAGTGAACTGTCTTCACCGTTCTTTCTACCTCCACCTTTCACATTCCCTCTGCTCCATAATGTTCTGTCCCTGCAACAAATAAGTAAATGAAACTTCGGTTTCCAAGGTCACCAAGAATCCCCTTAGTGCTGAATCTTGGGCCTTGTGGGACTTCGGAGAGGGTTCTAGAGTTCAGGCCAGTAGTTTAGCAGGGATGGAAAAATTTGTTTACACAAGACCTTGTTTGTATAGAAGAAGAAGAAGTAGGTATTTGGGTCTCTCTGGAGGATCTGAGCTTTTATTGGAGAGTAGTTTGCCCCTGGGGCAAGGGAAGGTTATGGTATTCCTGGTAAGATCATCAGAGTGAAAACAAAATTTAAAGGTGGGGTGGTGAGTACCCCAGGTCAGCCAGCCACCATAGCTGGGGATTCCCTTTGCAATGCTCAAGGCTGGAGGTACAGAAAGGCTGCTTACCTTACCAAGACCCCTCCCAGTGTCCCCTAGACACCCTAGCTAGAGGAGTCCTCTACTTAAACTTTTGCAAGATGTCCTTACTTAAATAAATAAAGCCGTGCTTGCTATTCTCAAGAACAGTTCAGTCCAATAGAACTATGTGTGATGATGGCGTGTCCTCTGTATGCTCTCCACTAGGCACTGGTGGCTATTGAGCCCTTGAAATGGAGCTGGTGTGTCTGAGGAACTAATGCTTTTACTGTAGTTAATATTAATTTAAATAACCACGTAGGGCTAGTGTCCACTATTATTGGACAGTGACCCTCTAGAGCTTCTTGATGTTAGATGGGACATAAAAATCAGAGAAACACCTTTCATGTTCATACAAGATTTGAGACTGTTTCTGTTTTCAGTGCCAATTGGATTCTTCAAGCTTTTCACTGGAAGGGGCCCCTTGATCTCTCTCCTGTTCCCTTCTGCAGTTTTAGGGTCATTGCCCCCAGCTGAATCTCACCTGCTTGTTTCTGTACCTGCATTCCCTCCACCTTGACTGTCTTCTGCTTTCCTGTCCATCTGTCCACCACCTGCCTGTCTCCCTAATTTGTATACTTCCCACCTTAGTTAAGGAGCTTTTATTTCTATCTGACACAAAAGTAAGACAACTGGGTCTGGGAGATTGGTGTCTATCTTTGTTATATATAGAATGTCCACTGAGCTTTGCCCTAATTTTTTGGTACAACACAAACCCATTATAAATTCTGGCTTTCTTCCTCTCCCAACCTCAAGTTATCTTACGACAAAATAATGCTTCTAGAAAAACTATGCTGACATATCAATCTTACCAATGAATTCATTTTAATAATCTTACATGATGGATCCTACCGCTTTGGCCCATTCCACTGAAGCTAGTAACACAGCCACCCAGGAAGGGGATGGCAGCTGTAAACCTGATCTTTCACAGCCACTCTGCATATTCTTGAATGCCAAGGGCTTCAACAAGCTTCTTACAAGGTGGGGCAGTCCTATTAATTCCTCAATAAGCTTCCATGAGTCTTCCTCTTTTCAGAAGGGGGCCTGCCTGTGTCTTGGATGGGTGACCAGCTTCTTCACTCTGGCTCAGGCCACCCTCCCGGGGCTGAGACAGAATTCCCCTGTGCTGAGCGTTCCAGGCCACTGATCCCCTTGCTCCCGGGATCACCGGCGGATCCCCCTGCACACCTGTGGAGGCGCGGCCTGGTGGGAGGAGGGGCGGCTGCGGCCGGGGGACGACCAGGAGGATTGGGAGGGTAGGGGTGCCGGAGGGCAGCCGCAGCTGTGAGCCCAGCCGCGTGGGGCAGGTGCGGCCCCTCAGCGCCCGCTCAGGAGTGAAGAGCGCCGCGGGCACTTCCGGGAGGGAGGGTCTGCGCCCTGGGGCTCGCTGTCCCCACGCGGAGTCTGCAGCGGAGGAAGGGGTGTGGTCGCCGCTCTCGGGACCATGCCGGCAGCCCTGGGGCTGGGTCTGCGCTCTTCTCACCCCTGGCCTGCCGCAAAGCCTCAGCGAGCTCGGATCCCCCCCGTGGAGGCTGCGGGCGGGGGCTGAGTACTGGCGAGGGAGGCTTCTTTACTCCCTCAGCCCTGAAGGAAGGGTGAGGGGCTGGTCCAGGCGGGGAAATTCTCAAACACGGGCTGCGCCAGGGTTTTGCGGGGGCCAAGAAAAACAAGGCTGTACCCACCTCCAGTCTAGCCCAATTTCCAGAGACAAATAACTCAGTTCCTTAAGACCTAATGTCATCCTCCCCTCCATAAACAAAACTGAAGGAGGCTGAGGTAGAAGGAAAAGTAAATAAAGTTAAATTTCTTCTAAACCCAAATCTCACTAACAAGGACGCTTGATAGCAAGAATGTGACATTCCACCAGGAAACTCCCAATTGTCTTCATGCTAGTGCCTCATTAAAGGGAAAAAAGGCCTTGGCTTGATAGTAGCCAGGCCTTCAATATCCTGACAGTCTTCTTTACCCTGATAGCCCTTCTGAACACCCCCTTTGTCCTCACCCACGGCTGAGTCCACCCCTACTCTGCTTTTAAAAACTCTATAATCTGGCTCAGGGTCCAAGTCCCTACTCTGCTGTGTCGGGTATACTTGGGCCCAAGCTTAAGCTCGTCAAATAAACCCTCATGTGATTGCATCCGTGCTTGGCTCCTTGGTGGTCTCTCAGACTCGAAGACTGGGGCACAACAGTTTCTTCTGGAGATTCTTTAAATTCTGGAGTTCAAGGTTTTAGGCACTTGGGCTAAGGAGCCTTCTCCACTGAAGAATAGCCAATTAGAAGTAATTTAAGGTCAAATATATATCTCTTTTCTGGAGTAACATATGTTGTTCTCCAGTATCTTTAATATACCCTAAATTCTATAATGCTCCCCTCCCCCGCCCGCCCCGGAGTACCCCGGGAATGGATGGGGGGTGGGGCGACTGGCTCCTCCCTCCCCCCACGTCTTCCTAGGGCAGCTCCGACTGTCGCGGGGGCAGGGGCGCGTCCTGAAGCCAGTTCCAGTCAACAAGGGGTAATTGTGGGATGGTCTCAGGAGTGTCTTGAGACAAGAAGGGGGTAGCCTGCTGCTGAGTGAGATCAGAACATTCGTGCCAGGCCAGGAGAATCTGAAGGTGGAATCTTGATCAAGTCAATCCTTCCATGAAGTGCTCTGGGTGTGTGTACACACACACACACACACACACACACACACGCACACACGCTCTCTCTGCCACACAGGACAGAAGTGTGGGATCCGTGCGGTTGATATGAAAAGTACAGAAACTGTTTTGGAAACTGGGTTCTTCCCTAGAGTTACTGGTTGGAGAAATTCAACAGTCGGCAGATATCCGTGGTGGGTCAGTATAACCAAAGCATTGATTTCTTAATGAGAAATCTTATGTTTTTTTCTTGTTTCAAATATCACAACTCCAGGCTGTTAAAACGTAATTTTTCTCTTGACCATGCTCAACCTCTCTGTCAGAAAGTTTACTTTATAGGAAATTTCTTCCTAACCAATTATATCGGTAACTTAATGTTATATTAAGGAGAGCTTATTTCAAGTGTTTCTAAGGGAGATGATACCTATGGGAGACCTATGTGAGTTATGTTTGTGTGTTTCTTCTTGGGCAGGTCTCCCTAAAATCAGGTGAGCATCACTTCTGTGAAGGAAGCTTGATCCAGGAGGATCTGGTTGTTACCGCAGCACACTGCCTGGTTGGCCTCAATGAGTAAGCTGTGGATTTCCATTATCATTATCCTCTTACCAAACCTCGATTGCTAGCTATACGACTGGGAGATTTGAAGCTCTAAATACTACGGGAAGTTCAACCTCAGTCCCTTTCTGAATTTTTCCACCTGGTCCAGCCACTCATGGACCTTCCTGATCCCCAGAAACTTGTATCAGGATTATCTTAAGATTTCCTGTACCTCTTACTCAGAGTCCCCAAAGATCCCAGATTAGCCTCGATAATTTGTAAAGTAGGTAGTGAGGTGGAGTTGATGATTACTCGTTCTAATGAAGTATTGACATCAAATGTTTAATGGATGTTCCAAAATTTTAATAATATGAGTCATTAGGAGGGAAAAAATATTGTGGAAATAACTGATACTTAGCTAGGTTGAGAGTACTAATAATAATGAGAGTTCTAGGAAAATTTTTATATCTTTTTAAAAATGATAGAGCATATGTACACAACTATAAGAGGAAAAGAGGCCATTCTTAAATACTTTATGCAGAAAGACGTTTGATGGTGGGGGAAAGGGTTCACAGAAGGCAAACACTCATGGAAAATCACGACTTTTCGCAGATCCCTATAATTTATAGGCAATTACGATGGTAGTAATCATTGATAAAGGTGCATCTCCTTTTAAGACTTAGAAATGCTTAAAGGTACACTAATCACTTTTCATTTAATTATGTGAAACCAAGGCAGTCATTCCTGGGGAAACAGCTATATTTATTGAAACATTTTTCTTCGGTTTTAGGAAGCAAATTAAGAGTCTGACTGTGACTGCTGGGCAACACAGCCTCTCCCAGAAGGGTGTACACGAACAGAAGAGTCCTGTCTCAATAATTATTATCCATCCTGAGTACCACAGACATGGATATATGAGTTCTGATATTGTACTGCTCTACCTAGAACACAAAGTTGAGTTTGGTATGTAGGGGAGTTAGCACATGAAAAAGTGTAGGAGAAAATGGTGTTTTATTAATCCTGTACTGGTTAACTTTAATTTCTGTGCATAGATCTACTAATATTAGAATAGCTAAGTTTTATTCCTTTTTATTTTATTTTTTTAAGGATTTTATTTATTTGGCAGAAAGAGAGAGATCACAAGTAGGCAGAGAGGCAGGCAGAGAGAGAGGGAAGAAGACTCCTTGCAGAGCAGAGAGCCTGAAGCAGGGCTTGATCCCAGGATCCTGAGATCATGACCTGAGCCAAAGGCAGAGGCTTACCCACTGAGCCACCCAGGCACCTTTTTTCCCCCCAAAGGTTTTATTATTTTTTAAAATCTTGTTTATAACCTATAAAAAACACTGTACAGGCTATGGGTCCAGACACAAATTATGTATGCTTAATCTGCATTTAACGTACTCTTTTTGTCCTGGCCGGGCTACATTCTAGGCTTACTTATACTCAGCTCTAGCCAGGGAGTTTGGGACGGTTGAAAGTGTTCTCAGAGAGTTCTTTTTGTCATTATTGTGGACTAGATAGCTGACACTCAGCACAGGTAATCTAAACATTTTGGATAAGAATATTAAAAATCTGTTTTTTAAAAATGCAAAAAAGAAAAGTTTTCAGTGACCCCAAACAATGAGCACAAATCTAGAGGCGTTGGCCAGGTAATGAAGCAAGCCATTGCCTTTGAGTCATCGAATTGATCTTTAAGAACCTAGAGCTTTAATTGCTCAAGCAAGGAGACTGCATAGGAGGAGGGATGGTGGATGGGAGAGTCTGGTTGGAGTCTCCCATGTAACTCCTGACTTCCCGCCAGGTAATGCTTGAAAGGTTGGGGGGAAAAGGGAAATATGTCACATAAAGTGAGGGAATAAGGAAACTTACCTGTTTGATCTTTGGCTCCGTAATCATGAGCAAGCCTTCATTCAAGTTTAATGCTAGCATTCCCATTACCTGTGACCAAAAGAAACTATTGCCCCATTTTTCTGTTCCCCTTTATAGAAAAGCTATGAAGTTCTGTTAATGGTAGGGAGGTTAATTTCCTCTCCTCAGTTCTCATAATTACATGTATTAAGTTTGAGCTATCTGTTAGACATCCGAGTCAGTCAGACTCTCACGCCCCTTACTTCCCCCAGTTTGCTCTTGTCTTAGTCACTGACCTCCATGTTGTTAAATTCAAAGGTAAATTCTCAACCCTCAGCTTACTTGAAGGAGTTTTGACAGAGTTGCTCATACCATCCTGGAAACATTTTCTTCATTTGAGTTCCAGGAGTCCCTTGGTTTGCCTTCTACCTCTTTTTTCACCCTTTACTGGTTTTCTGTGATGACACTTCCTCTTCTCTGTGACCTGTTATTGTTGGCGTGCTTTTCTCTATCTGTCCTCACTCCTTTAGTGTCCTCATCCAGGAACAAGGCTTTAAATACCATCTGAGTGAAGACTATCCCAAATATTGTCTGTCTAGTCCAGATTCCTTTAGATTACACATGCTGCTGGGATTACTAGTAGTTGTATAGCTAACTGCCTACTGGTCATCCACCTGGATGGCTAATAGCATCTCAAACTTAATATCGTTAAAACAGCATCTTGATTATCGCCTACATCCTAAATCTCCTTTACCCATAGCCTTCCATTTTGATTAATGAAAATTCTATCTTTCCTGGTGTTCAAACTAAACACTTTGCACTGGGTCTTGATTCCTCTTTCTCTCACATTGATTCTTCTTTCTCCCAGAAAAGTCCTGTTGCTTCTGTCTCACCCTCTCTACTCTTAGCAACCTATTCCAGGCTACCGTCCTTTCTTGCCTGACTTAATTTTAGTAGTCTCTTAAACTGTCTTTAACTTCCTCTTTTGCATGCCTAATGTTTATTACTAACCCAACAATCAGACAGATACTTTTTGAAATATGAGTTACATCACTCTGTTCAAAACCCTTCAGTGGTTCTTCATTCTACTCAGATGGAAATCAATGTCTTTACCAGTTGACATCTCTGCTCTCCTGGCTCTACATCTGATCTGTTGTGTATGTGTGTGAGTGTGTGTTTGTGTGTGTGTTTTCCACTAAACCTTTTTTTTGCTTAATGTGTTCTGGCCATTCTGGCCAACTGTTCCTCAAGCATATATGACATGACCCCACTGTGGGGACTTTCCATTCTCTTTCTTCTTCTTCAAGTGCTTTCTGCTCAGATAACTACATGGTTCCTTCCCTTGGCTTTTCAAGGCTTTACTCAAATGTCATCTGCTCAATGAATCTTGCCATGACTATTAATTTCAAATAACATTTCCCAGGCCATCCCCCCTAATCTCCAGATTTCAGAACTTCTTTACCCTACCCTGATTTTCCCAGAGTGATAGTACCTAACCACCAAATAAGTTATTTTATTTATTGTTTGCATGCCCGCTTCCCCAACATACACTCTTGTGTGTAAGGGATTTATCTTTCTGCTCATTCACTGAGGTCTAGAAGAGGGCTTACCACAAAGTAGGACTCAGTTACTCTGAGGGAAAACTATCTTTTAAGAACAAGGGTCTACCCTAAAATGTTAATAGTTTTGGAAGATCATGGTGGTACATATAACACTGGATTATGGTCTTCCTTGTTTTACTTTTTCTGCATTCTTTCTAAATTTCTATAAATATGAAAGAGTTTTGTTTTTTGTTTTTTTTTTTAAATATATGTCAGGGGCACCTGGATGACTCAGTCAGTTGAGCCTCTGCCTTCAGCTCAGGTCATGATCCCAGCATCCTAGGATGGAGTCCCTCATCGGGCTCCCTGCTCAGTGGAAAGCCTGCTTCTCTCTCTCACTCTGTCTGCCGCTCTTCCTACTCGTGCTCTCTATTGCTCTGTCAAATAAATAAATAAAATCTTAAAAAAAAAAATATATATATATATGTCAATATTACATTTAGGGAGAGAGTATAGAAGCTATGAAATTAACTGGATATCCCTTTTCCAAATATATTCAAGACTTGTCTATCTATGAGCCTTATAATTTTCTGTTATTGTTGTTTTTCCAGGAACTGCTGTTCAGCCAATCTGTCCTCCCCATAGAGATGAGAAATCTGAAGCAGGGATTCTTTGCATGACCAGTGGATGGTGCAAGATCTCAGAGAGTAAGGGGCATCAAAAGGAAACAATAGTAGTTCTTCCAGGTTTCTTTGTCCATGAGAAGCAGGAGTTTTATTGGCCATGAGTAATCCATTTATTCTGTTTTGCTTTTGTTTTCCCCAAGTTATGATCCAGTGAGAATTTCTGGTTGTCTTCCCTAAAAATGACTATGCTTAAGGCTCTACACAAAACTCCTCCTGCTGCCATTTTGGTTAAGTGTGTCAGAAAAAGAAAACCAGCAGTAATTATGACAAATGAAGAAGAATACAGTAAAAGGATAATCAGAAAATAGTAACAATGGTTAAACTTACTTGTCTTTAATGTTGTGATTTTTTTCTTTTTCTTTCTTTTTTTTTTTTTTACGGTAAAGTATTTCACAAAATACAAAAAAGTTTCCCTCTTGGGGAAACTTCAGTGAGAACAATGGTTATCTAACTTATCAAACTGTCTCCACAGCATCAGAATATTCAAATGTCCTATGAGAAGTAGAACTTCCCCTCATGGATGACAGAATGTGTAATAGTGTGCTCAAGCATGTGAACTTTCCTCTTCTGGGAAGGACAATGATGTGTGCCAGGTGTCCAGATGGGAAAAAGGATGCCTGCCAAGTAAAATATATCAGTCAGCCTGGTTATTCAGTATCATGTAGGTAATAGTGGATTCTGCCTTTCCCCATGAGTTGCTTTTGCAGAATTACTGCTTCAGAATTCTTTTTTTGTTCATCTTTCTACCATGTTTCTACTGAAAAAGTTTACTTGACCTGGCCTGAGAGCATTCTTTCCTGTTCCATGCCCATTCTTATCCCCACGCTTCTTTTTGGAGAAAGGGAGGGAAAGAATGCAGGGGAGTTGGTTTCAACATTTCCAACCTAATGGAAGGAAACAAGAGCACTTTGGCAAAATTAGGTCTGTGAATTATTTTTGATTCCACCTTTTGATAAACATTGTGATTTTTTTTAAGCCTTTAAGGCAGAATGCGATGCTTGCACAAAATTTGACCAAAGATGGCATAACTATTTTAATGGTTGGATAAAACATATGAATGACCTCCCAAGGCTTACATAGCAACTTACCAAGAAGACTGATCTTCACAAGACAGAGAGGGAAAGGGAGACTAATTGGTGAAAGGCATTTTAAGTTTTAGATGGAGATAACAATTTACTTGGAAAGACATAAAAACAAAACAAAACTGGAGGAGCAAGCGGCTTGGAACTGCTATGGGAAGCTCCGTAAAATTATCTTTTGGAAAAATTTTGACTTTTGTTCTGGGGAAGAGGGGTTGCAGGTGGGAGGCTATAACAGGACAGGGACCAGGAAGAGTTTGGAAGGGAGGAGACAGCAATTTAGAATTATGCCACTTTCTGAATTGGAACCCAAGTAGTTTAATGATGCTCTATCCTATCTGCTTCCCTGAGAGACCGTCTTTTTTTGGATTAAGCCCTCAAACGATCCTGTGCCTTTTGAAGAGGGTTTAATGGATACAGAATTGACACGTGTTCTCAGAGCAACACATGATCCTGAAGGATTATTAAAGGATCCTAAAATCATGGGTTCTTTATCCTCTAGTCCAAGAGCCAGCAGTCCTTTACATGTATCCCCTGGGACGAAGTTAGGCTTCTGTTCTGTTCTCAAAGCCTTCAGCTGTTGCATGAACTTGGGGATTCTATTCACTGGTGCTGTAGGCTTGGATATGACCCAGTCTTTCCCAGCAATTCCAGGTGACAAACTAGAGTGAAAAACTGTTCTGTAAACTCCCCCTGTTCCTTCCAGTGGTTTGGAATGTACATGGTTGTTCCCAAAACAAGTAGGGGCAAGAGAGAAGTTACATGGTAGCTTGACAAGATTGCAGACACTGATTGGAAAGAAGTTACATCTGGGCAAAAAGACTGTACCTTGAAACTAATGGTGAAGAGACAGAAAGGTGGACCAAAAAAAAACATTGATGGACATTAACCAGTGGGTATCTATGTCTCTACTACTTCTCTCTTTGAGATGAGTGCTATTGTTTGTGGGCCTACTAAAATATTTTTAACTTGTGAATATTTTCAAGTTTTTTCTTTTTCTGTGTTATGAAAGGGAGACTCTGGAGGTCCATTTGTTTGTAGAAGAGACAGTGGAATCTGAGTCCTTATTGGGATAAGTTCTTGAAGAGCTGGTTGGACTAGAGATTGGACTTCTTTAAGAAAAAACCATAAAAGGGCATCGCTGGGCATTTTCTCCAAGGTGTTTGAGTTGATGGATTTTGTCACTCAGAACATATTCACAGGTAGATGTAATTTCTGTGAATTCATCCTTCCATTCTAAATCAAATGCTTATATCAAGAGTAGTTACTCTGGTATGTTACAGGTACAATAGAACTAGGCTCTAAAAGCACAAATATGTCTGATTTTCAATTCCTAATCCAATATATATGAACTTAAATCTCTAAATTCATGAGAACTGATAACTTTCAATTTAACTTAAACTCAACTTGGACATAACCTGGATCTTCAAGTTTATGTTCATGTAGTTTTTTGGTTTTTTTTGTATTCATAACATTTAAAAAATAACCATTGAGGAAGGGTTCTTTCTTCATTTATCCAGCTGACATATTTTTTCCTCTAAATTAGTTTATCTCTTTAAATTTTTTTTTCTCACCATAGGACATACCCTTCCCAATATCCATAACCCAGCCACTCCATTCCTCCCACCACCACCCTCCCCTTTCAGTAACCCTCAGTTTGTTTTCTGAGATTAAGAGTCTCTTATGGTTTGTATCTCTCTCTGGTTTCATATTATTTCATTTTTCCTCTCTTCCCCTATGATCCTCTGTCTTGTTTCTCAAATTCCTCATATCAGTGAGATCATATAATAATTCTTTCTCTGATGGACTTATTTCCCTCAGCATAATACCCTCTAGTTCCATCCAAGTTGTTGCAAATGGCAAGAGTTTGGTTTTTTTGATGGCAGCATAATCCATTGTGTGTATATATACATATATATATAATAGCCATAGTTTGGCTATTGTGGACATTGCTGCTATAAGCATTCAGGTGCACGTGCCCCTTCGGATCACTACATTTGTGTCTAGTTTAGGACACTAAAAATAAATGACTCCTTTCCTTTTTCTCCCATTCACCTTTGTTAATTTTACTTGACAACAGTGGCGAAAATAAGGGAGGCTTTGGAGAGTTGTTTTTGTTTTGCAACACTAAAATCTAGATTAGAAAAATAAATGTGGGTCAAGAGATGCCAAACCTGTCCTCAAGGAACTTCCCTGCTATTTGGGAAGACAAAGGAGTAAATTGACCAATGTGACAAAGGTAACGCCTGAGCATCGAGGAGAACTCTGAGGAGCTCAGTCCCGGGGGACCAGAAGGTGTGCCATACAAAGTGGCGACACCCATTCAAGGAATGCCCAGGGGCAGCCTCCATAGAATAGAGACGTGAGGATACATGATTAACAAGAACAAGCCACTGAGTATGAGAACCAGCTTTTTTCAAGGCCAGAACCCAGAGTGTCAGAACCTAATGTTCTCTCCATCCCACCAGGGCTCCCTCACTGTCGTCCACAATCAGCTACCTTGCCGATGATTCGAGAAGCACCACTGTGACTGGTTCAGCTGAACACCACTAGAGCAGGCTCACCACTGGCTCTCATTTGGGCATCAGAGTGAAAGTGCTCTGTTCGTTGTCATAACTGCACAGGGGAATTCCCTCCTGGTAGCAATTCTGTTCAGTTTTCATCACATGGAAGAGAAGGTTAAAAAGATTAACAAGCCCTGAACAAAGGTTAATGATAACAATATTTTAAAAGGGCAATGAAATCAGCCAGTAACAGTTAATTCCACAATAAAATGAATAGCAGATTGTGACAATTTATTTAAATAACACTCCCTTGACATCTTCTTTCTAAGCTTCTCATCCCATAGTTGCTTATTTTTTCTAGCTTCCAGTAATTAGAATGTGACCCCGGAAGCTGAAATTTCTGAGTGCATGATAGAGGCTTGCCACATCATTGCTAAAATTTGTGTACTTTTACTTTAGTATTTTTCTACATAGGTATTTTATTATAACCCAGATTATCCTAGTGAGAGATGGAGGAAAAAACCATATTAGTTCCATATACAATGAACTTGAAGCCTCAGTATGACTCATGATTTTGAAAACTGGATAAAGATATGTTAAATCTGAAGAACTTAGAGAAATTTTCTCAGTGAAGTCTGAGGTCATAACATCTAAAAACATGTGTTCCCATAAATATAAATTATATAAATTACACAGCTTCAATCTGACTGTGTACCATATGTCTTGAAATTCTATTCATAGCTGAGGTAAGTGATCAACTTTTTTCTACACTTTGAAAGCTTGTAGATCTCAAGGAACCATGTTATTTGGAGAAAATGGCAAGATTCGTTACCCCCATTCCAAAGAGAGAAGCTTTTCTCGTAATTGGTATGTATCCAAGGTAGGAATGATTCTTGGGTTTCCCCCCAAATCAGGTCTTTAAGGGGCAATGTTTTGGCATTTGTACCTAGTATCTCAATTTCTCAACCTGATTAACATAAAAGTCTATATATTTATCTGATATTTTCTAGTTGGGAAGTATTTGCTGATGGATATTTCTGATATCCACTAATACAAACCATCAACACGAGTAGTATTAAGACTGGAGCTTACCTGAATTGATGTATTCAAATATACAACATTCCTACTTATTGCTGTAATAATGGTAATGTTAAGTGTTGCCTAGAAGATGGAAAATAGCTCATGATCTATAAGCTTCAGTGTCTTTAAACTTTTTCTACATAATCTGTTCCCTCTCTGGCTGAAGAAATCGTTAAGCTTTAGAAATAAGTTTTGCAAGTACTTCATTTCCTCCAGTGTTGTGAGTTAACTTCAAATCTTGTATGAACATCGAAAGGTGTGCCAAGGTAGATCACAGATCTGTGAGTTTATAATCTGGAAAGAAGGAAGAGCTGGATAAGAAGAACTATACTATAAAACACGATCAGATAAGCTTTATAATTCATACTACCCATGTGTCGGGTGGTGTTATGGAGAAAGGAAAGGCTAAGTCCCATTGCAGTGGTTTGTCTGGTGTGTGTGTTTATACTATGGTTGAGGGTGGTGGTGGTAGGAATGTGTTAGTGAAGGGGTAGAATTGAAACTAGTCATTGAAGGGTAGTTACAGTTTTGTAGCTCATGAAGTCTTTTGTAGCTCTGGTATCTAGATTTCAACAGATCATGCCAGGCAGAAGAAGTTATGTGTGAGTAATGTCAGGGAGATGGAGAAAATTACAGTTGTTTGGACAATGTGTATCACAGGGCAGCTGGATAGCAATCCCAGCATAAATAAGAAATAGTGTGGCAGTGGACAATGAAGATAAAAAGGCTGGTTAGGACTTAATTATAGAGCACCTTAAATTCCGTGAGAAGAAGTTTGGACTTTTTGCCACAGGCAATGGGAGCTAAAATGGTGGCATGATTATAATTTATAAATAAATGTATAAAGACTGGACTGCAAATACTTGTTATAAGTATACAGAGGAAATGATATGGCTTAATTAAGGCCCATATTTAAATGTCTTAAAAGTGTAAGTTGACTTTCTGTGCATCAATCTACTAATAATATAATACCAATAAAGCCTTTGCCATCTTTTCTTAAACTTTTAGAAAAATAGCATCTAGAATAAGAGTGAGAGTCTTCTTTTATTAGAGCCTGGGTGGGGAGAGTTGGGAGGGGTCTTCAGGTACAATCTTTAGAGAGGGGCATTGATAAGCTGGAAATTGTCTGAAGGACAATGGCCAAGATGGAAAGGAATTTGAAACAGTATCTTGGTGATTTTGATCCAAAGAAGACTTGAGATGAAGAAGGAACTTAATCCGAGGAACCACTACAGATGTTAGGAGGAAGCAGATTTCAAGCCAAATACAGTAATTTCCAACTTGAGAGATCTCCGAGACTTAATGGCCTTCTTCGGGAGTAATGAGTTTCGTTTATAAGTAGATATTTGAAAAGAGCATGGATGGCTGTGGGTGAAGTTCTAGAAAGTACTGATACATTAGGTTAAGAGATTGCAGATGGCAGCCAGTTTACCTTCAAACACAGAGAACCTGCAGTTCAGCTTAGACAATGAAGTATTGAAGAGATTTCTGCAAGAAAGACTTTCAAAGCAAAAGGAGTTTGTTATTAGTGTTAGCTATTGCAGAAGTCAAAGTGAGGTCAGATAGGGGCACCTGGGTGGCTCAATCGGTTAAGCATCTGCCTTTGGTTCAGGTCATGATCCCGAGATCCTGGAATTGAGTCCCACGTGGGGCTCTCTGCTCAGAGGGGAGCCTACTTCTTGCTTTCCCTCTGCTGCTCCCCCTGCTCGTGTTCTCTCTCTGTCAAATACATAAATAAAATCTTTTAAAAAATGAGGTCAGATAAAATGCCACTGGATATGGCCGTTCAAAATTTAGTGGCTAATTCAGTAGATTTATAGGATTAAGAACTATATTCATAATTGGCTAAGCGATTGTTGACGACTTGGTATCTTTCCTTCACCAAGTAGTCTAAGCATTTTTATCAAAGCTTTATGATGTGTCAGGCACTGTTTCAGGTGCTAGAAATATAGCAGTGAATGAAACACAAATAATTCCTTTGCGGGCAGGTTGGAAAGTGGAGAATGGGGGTAGTACAAGTCATTAATTAAGTAATAGTAAGTAACTATAGTCACCAAAATTAAATAATAGTAAAAAGTGGTAAGTGCTATGCAGAAAAACACAGAAAGAAAGAGGGATGGTAGTGTAATATTAGAGAAGGTGGTCAGGGAAAACCTCACTAGAAAGACGATATTTGAACAAAGACTTGAATAAGGTGAGGGAGGGAGTCATACAGGTCATCTTGGGAAGGAACATTCTTTGCAGAAGGAACGGCATGTGTGAGGAAGGAAAATTTTTAGTATATTTGGGGAAGATTTGGATCAGAGTGCTAGAGCTAAGTGAGAGGGGGGAAGTGGTTGGCATGATCAAACTTACAGGACATACGAAGGACGTAGGATTTCCCTGTAAGATGGCCATTGGAGGATGTTGAGCAGATGAGGAACATGACCTGACACATTTAAAAAGGATCACTTTGGCTGCTGTATTGAGAATAAACCTTAGATGGGAAAGGCTAAGAGCTGAAAGACTAGTCACTGCAATAGTCCAAGGAAGTGTGGTGGCTTGGGACCAGGTTTGTAACAGTAGAGGTGGTGAAAAGTGGTGGATCCACAGGATTTGATAGTGAGTTGAAAATTTGGGTTTGTAAGAGGGAGAGCCTTATGATTAACATGAGGGTTTTTGACCTGTTGGAGGGATGGAGCTGCCATTGTTTTTTGATGAAAAAGACAGTTAACAGTGAAGGGAAAGAGGAAGATGTAACTGTGGCTTTTGAGTAGTAGGACAGGTTTCAAGAGAAGCAGGGTTTGGTTTGGTTTTGTTGTCTTGTTTTGTTCTGGGGAAGAATGGGTTAGAATTAACTGCACGTACGAACAGAAGAGAGAGTAAGGGAGAGGAGTCAAGAGAAATGTATAAATATGTGAAGGAAGTTTCGTGAGAACACAACAAATAAGGAAGGTTTAACTTTGAAAAAAAGGTGAATAATTACTCTCCTGGGAAAGCAACAAAAAAAATTTCAGGTTACCTATAGGAAAGTTAAATAAATGTACACTAAATTTCTTCTTGGATGTTATAAGGTTTTAGTTGCTTCAAGTTTAGAGGATATAGTTGAGATTAAATAGTTAAGATTTGTAATAGCATGTAAGGACTCAAATCAAGTTTCAACAAGAGATGAATAAGAATTTCAGTAATTTCACAACTCAGTATTAGCATGAATTTATGCTGTATTTCAGCACATCTAAAACAAACTGGTTGTAAAATTCATTGCTATTTTATGTATCAATAAAGAAATAAAAAATACCCAAGATTAGGAGGTTTCCATATAAAGACAGGACACCAAAGACTATACCTTCAGTGTAAGACTAAACAAGGCACAGTCCTACCCACATGGAAAGTTACATGCCTCAAACCTTGACACTGGATGTAGGGAGCAGTAAAAATCTTCTCTGAGAGTTCAAATCACAAACTAATACTTATGCAGGTCTGTTGTCTATAATGTCCACCACCAGTATAGTCTGAAACACCTCAAGCAGAAAAATTCAGTAGCATGAAGTTGACAGTGCTTCAGAGTGACTGATCACTCTGATTTCTTTCTGGAAGAACCATTTCCATCAGAACTAACAGAACTGTAAGACTCCACTGTAAGATCCTTCTGATTTTAGAATGCTCAAGTGTTGGGGGGGGAATGTGCTTTAGAATGTAATAAGATAAAGAATCATTTTGCATACTTAGTGATTCCTGCATTATGCAAAGCAGCCTGGAGAATGGTAGAAGGTTTAATTCCAGATGGAGTTAATTAATGGTAAGTTAGAAACAGATAATGCAAAGAAGGAGCAAGGAGTTATAGTTTCTCCAAGCCTATCTTTATTCTGTTAGGTGGTAGCTAAATTCTCAGACATGGCAGATACACAACACTCAGGTGGTCTCCCTCCTTCCAGGCCCATGGGAGACATTGCATTTCTTAGAGCCTAGAACAGTGCCTGGTATATAATAATGCTCAATAAATATTTGAATAGGTAAATCAATGCTTACTGTTGGTCCCCCTCTCTCACTTAGCTTGACTAGATCTCAGAATCCTTTTTAACACAACAGTCACTAACAATAAATCAGGTGATTTGAAATCTGTTTTCTATCTTTGAGGTAGAGATTTGGAATGGGAGAAAGTACTTGCCTTTGAAGCCATAAAGCCCAAACTGTATTTTCTATTACATGTGAGGTGTGATGAGTCTTTTAAGATCATGACAGTTTTCTTATTTTGAGGAAGGGGAGTACTTTCTCCCTGCCCACTTCACAGGGGTATAATGAATCTCAAGAATGATGATAGATGTGGACTGCTTTCTCAACTAAAGTACCAAAGAAAAATTGAGCTTTATAATATTCTAGACCGCTTATTGCTTTCTAAATTGAAGTGCTAAAGAGTGATTTAAAAAAAAAAATAATATTTTAGGCAGCCTCTTTTTTACACTGATGTTCAAAATGATGGACTAGAAAAAGCAAAGCAGGGAGTTTCTGGTTAGGGAGGAGATATTTAGTAAGAATTATTGCATTTGATCTTTAGAAACTGGACATTAAAAAGTTGGATAACTGCTGATATCCTGAACATTATTACTTAGAGGGCAGTGAGACTGTTAACAGGTCTGAAGTGGTTGAAAAAGAACGTCAGGTTTTAGAAGTTTGTTCTGATGTGTTCAATTCCAGGCATGATCGCTTTGCACTCAGATGAATGTGAGGCATGGAAGACACCAAGGATTTATGGTCTGCTGGGCTTTCTTTTCTTTAATAATGTGAATTCACGAAGGAGAATAGAGGATTATGTGTTAAATCATGTAAGACTACTTTCAGAATGTTTAGACATGTTTCTAAAGATGTTAGTAAAAGGTCACAGCTGACCTTACCGGGAGTTAGAGAGATGACATGGCAACCACAGAGACCGTGACCAAGGCTGACCTTGGAGGACGTGACTGGTTAGACTTAACATATGCTGCTTGGTCAATCCATAATTCATGATGCATAATTCAACTTCTGAACATTATGAATTTTCAATTAGACTACTAACTTAGAACAAAGAGATGAATCTTGGGTTCCTCAATGTATAGGTGAAAATTCTAGTATTTTATAACTGAATGAAAGTTAAAGGGTGGTTTCTGGTGATTTCTAATTAACCCCTCTATTTGTTGGATAAATGCTGGCAATTTGAGCATAATCAAATTATTCTCACATAAGGATTTCCTTTGCCTTTTATCTTCTAATAGCCTTTAAAATTTTGTTATTGGTGAGTTATGAGCTAAAGCCCAAATACTAGATCTTAGTTGTCCCACTCGACTGTGCTGTTTATTACACTTTCTCTGCCTTCCCTATCTAGCTTATGTATGTGGAGAATAACAGTACCAGAAAATAAAATTATGATGGTAAAATTTACAAGCTTAGACATACAAAATCAAATTGGATGTGACCATGACTATATATCTTTACAATCGAGCAATGGAGTGCTTATTAGTATGTATGCTACATTTATTTTTTACTTGTCATGTTAGAGTATCTAAGCAACCAAAGATGGGCAGAGGGACCTGAAGTTAGTTTTCTGCCCCAGGACATCTTCCATACTGTCCCTTTCTGGAAGGAGTGTGTGTGTGTGTGTGTGTGTGTGTGTGTGTGTGTGTGGTAGGAGAGGAACTGATGACCCACATACTGGCTGAGCTTTCTCTATTCCCTTCTCAAGTTCAATAACATCGATCTCACAACATTCCGAAACTTTCTTTCAAGGCAATATCTACTTTTTTGTTTTTCATCACAAAAGTGGGAGCATGTTTGCCAAATTTGGTAGAGAGATGAGTGAATGGAAGAAAATGTAAACCATTAATAATCCTGCCACCTATAGATAAGTGCTGTTAACATTTTGAGGTAGTGTGTATTAATTTATGTGTATTAACATACACACTGAACTTCACATTGTTTTATAATGTTCTTTTCTCTCATGACAGTAGATCATTTCAGGTAATTTATGGGATACATCTTATAAACTGTAAGCGTAATTAATAACTTTAATTGAAAGATGTTAAACATCTTGATACAGAGTCTCTAGAGCCAATAATAGAACTTGATCTCCAGCAAAGGCCAGTGGTAAGGACAAATACCTCTTCACAAACTGACAGGGTGTTATAGATTAGGTATTGTGCTAAAGATTATAAGACTGGCTGAGTAAATGATTTCACACTCCAGGCCTGCTATTTACCTAGTAACCATTCTTTCAACCAATCATTTGTTAAGAATCAACTAGGTTCCAGATATTATATCAAGCCCTACACATATAGAGAGTAAAAACAGTCTCTGCTCTAATTGCCGTCTGACGAGTTAACTAAAGGTGTATCATAAAGTAGGAAATGACAGAGTACAGGAAATGTGCTGTGGTGATTCAGAAAATGTAGCTCTTACCTCATTGGGAGTTTGGGAAATTTATGAGAACTGGGCTTCATGTCAGGCCCTGAAGGATGAGTAGAATTTAGACATGGGAGATTGAGTTTGAGAAAGCGAATGGAATATAAAATCATTGACACAGAGAGTGTGGGTAAAATTAAAGTAAACACTAAATAGTCTGGTGTGCTGAGAACAGAGAATTTTCCCGTCAGATAATATCAGGAAAACACATATAAGCTGCTGCCATCTTAATGCTATTTCAATCCCTTTTCCTTTTAAGGTAAGGTCTGTGGAGGTCTTTTGCCTCCATCCTTGCTGACAGAAACCAATGAGGCCACAGTTACATTTGTTTCTAGGACAGGAAAGAGTGGCAGCAGGTTTGAGCTGACCTTTACTGCCATATAGAAGAACTCAGGAGCAGGTGTCTCAAATCTAATTCCCTGACTTTTTTATTTGAGGTGGAGGTAAGGAAGAGGGAATGCCTCTGGCCCTTCACTTTGAAGTTCCCTGACCTTCCTACAGGCTAAGGCTGGGGGAGTGTGGCTGTACTGGTGGAAGGAAGGACAGTTCACTCTGCCAATTATCCTCACATGTGTAAGGTGTCATTGCTTCATTCATGCTCCAGAGAAACACATGTTGACAGTAAGTGACTAAGGAAGCTCTATACAGTTCATCCAGAGCTTAGCTGTGTTGGTTAGGCAGAACTTGCTTCATCTGAGCTTGCAAACGGCCACTATGTCTAGGAACTTCCATGGGCCACATCTGTGGTTCTATATATGGATCTATATATGTTGTTTGAAACGTTTCAGCGGTTGAAGAGAGAATGCAACAGGAAGTATGCTCCCTTCTCCTCTAACTCCCATCCTGCCTCCTGGTGGCGAACACTGATTAAGTATCCCAAGTATCCCCAGAGAGAGATGCTGAGCCCTTACAGACATGCATATATTTATATTGCTTAACGTGCTTTTTCTCCTTAAAAAATATCCCAAAGATCTTTCCAGATGAATCCACAGAGCTCTTCTGAACAACTGCATAAAATTCTGTTGTGTGATACTCCATCATTTCTGAAGCCAGTTCCCTACTATCACTTGGTGGGTTTCTAGTCTTTGTCCATACCAATAATGCTAGTACATCCCTGTGTCAGTGTTTTTGGGCACATGTGGATGTATGTAATTCCCAGAGGTGGACTTTCTGTGTCAAAGGGCTTGTACGTTTTAACCTCAGAGTCCTTGCCAAATTGCTTTCCAAAGAGACTGCAATGACTTATTCTATTAGTGGAATAGGAGGGGGTAACTGAAGACCTTTTCATGTACAGAGGGAAGCTTTTAAAATTTATTGCATCTGTTCCTTGACCAATTCTCTGGTTATGTTTCTAATTTGTACAATTGGAATTTGAGGACTTTATCACTGAATTTAGCCAAAACTGTGTTTATGATGTGGTTGTGACTTACAGTAACCCTGAAGAGGAGCACGAGTTAGGTGGGTAACGTTCTATCTGAAAAGCATGAGAGTGTTTGCAACACTTACTGTCTTCCTTGGGTGCCACAGAGTCAAATGGGAATGAGGATTTCTTATGCTGGAAACTCATGTGTCAGAAAACCTTAGCTTTAACCCACGAGCCAACAACGGATTCACCAGTGAGGTTTTTAATAGGAACGTGCAAAATGCAGAGAATGTTTCAGAATATTTGGAAGGTGAACTTTTCCCACTGCGACAGTGAGTATGTTTTTGGTAGTTATTGAAGGTAAATTTTCTAACTCCTTTCTGTGTAAATCTCTTCAATTTGTGATATTTTTATGTCCAAGAAAAGTAACTAAAAGAAGCAACCAAGCTATAATTACTACTTCAGTCTTTAAAGTTCATTTTTGGACCTAAAACTGCAAGTACACTTTCATTTCTGACCTACCGATTTACTGAATCTAAAAAATGATCTTCCAGACGGACAGACGTTTCCTTAATACCTGCTTTCTGTCCCTTAGCTAAGTGTTGGTGTGGTTGGGAGACCAGGAACGCAGGTGGGTTGGGAATGTGTGTTTGCGTCTTCAAGCCAGGTGAGTAGAGACAGAGTCCCCTCATCTAGCAGAACGGGAGCTGTGTAGGGTGGGCTCTGGGTGAAGCGGATTGCCGGCGGTGCTTATTCACCTGAAGTGTAGCCATATTCTGTTTGGAAAGAGGAATACCACGTTTTGGATTTTTACTCACCTCTTCTCATTGTGTACATTAATCAGTTGGAGTTTCTATGCATACTAAAAATCAGATATCTTTACCCTATCTGTAGAGTGTTCTTCTGTGAGATAAAATTACAATACATAGTTATCTGGAAACAAATGTGCAATTCCCACATGAAATGGAAAGGCGTGCCTACAAACCAAAATTGAAGAAAACCAGAATTGCTGGAAAAAATTAATTGGATAATGTTTTACCTCTGCTTTCTGATTTTTTAAAAAAAAATTATAACTAATCAAACATCCCTAAAACTGACAGCTAAATTTTGTGGAATCTTGAACTTTACTCCAATATTCAGTCCTAATAACATATTGGTGATTCACTTTAAAAGTGATGGTGAAAATACCTTCCAGGGCTTTAAGGTTACATTTACCTTTTTGCTCTCAGGTGAGTATAAGCGCTTGCACAGTAGTGATTTTTTACCTGTGAAAATAGTTATACAGAAGATCACTTAGTTATGTGTACCTGAAATTAGGGTACTTGAATCACCTTGGTGGCAAAATAAAAATGCAGTTTCCTGCGCCCACCCCTGAAGTTTTAGATTCAGTAGATTATGATGGGGTCCTGGAACCTGGGCTTTCGCAAGAACCTCAGGTGAAGCCAAGAAACTACATCATCCACTAAATGATCAAAAGAGACTCTAAGCACCTTATATGGAAAGTGGGTAATTTAGATGAGAGAATGTAATTCAGAAATGACACTAACCAGCTCCTTTTTTGGGATGTTTCAGGGCTTTGGAGGACTAATAGTTTTTCTAGTCATTCTAGAAAACAAAGCCTTTACTTAAACAAAAGGAACATCCTCTGCAGAGATCCTGTCGTGGAAGAGAATGAGCGTTGTATGAAAAGCTGCAAATTATTCGATACTACTCAGACTTTGGAGGGAGTGATAGAAAAGGCAAGAGTTCGATTGTATGAGATTCAGGGCATTCAATTTTAGGTACCAGAGTGCTAGGATAGCTAGCTAACATTTATCCATGACTTGCTTTCTACCAGGTATCAACTAAACATCTCTCATGCATTATAACTTTGATTTCTCCTTTCAAGCATAAGAGGTTTATATATTGCTCTCCTTTTCACAGATGATAGACAAGAGGTTCAGAGAGGTTGAGTAGCTTTTCTCAAAGATGCATAACTGCCAAGAGGTGGAGCCAGAATCCAAACATTGGTAGTAATGTGGAAGATATAGAGATTAGGGATAAATTTACATTCAAGGAGACTAGTGAAGAAGTCACTGTAAGAATGTATTCGAGATCTGTTCCCTGGTTAGATATATTGTGCCAAAGGTAATATACAAAGGAGAAAAATCCCAGCATAATTTTTAGGACTATAGCTTGACAGGAAAATGGATGGTAGAGCCACTAAATGATACCGAGAAGCATAACAAGACCGTGTTCACTGTTGAAATCACTTGTTTCCATTTGAGACAAGTTTATTTTTATGAGCTTGTCGGAGACCCAGATGCAGAGATCTAGCAGTCCTAGCTCTAGAATTCAGAAAAATAGACTTAGATTGAAGAGAGAAATGTGAAAGCATATATAAGCAAATGAATAGTAAAAGGGTTGTAAACAGTACCTTATGGAATATTTTTCGCTGAAGGATGGGATCTTGAAAAAAATTCTAGAATTGAGAAGAGATGGTTATAGATGTATTGAGAAGATCAAGAAAGTGATTCCATGAAGCCAAGGAAGGAAAAAGTGCTTAAGAGTCAGATACAAGAGGATTGTTAAGAAATATACAATAAATCACATCTATGGGATCTGGCATTTAGCATTGGAAAGGTAGTATTAGTGAAATCAACATTAGAATGGTTATATGATTGACCCCAGGGTAAGCAAGTAGGGTCAACTGGTAAAAAATACTTTAAATATTTTCAATTGAAGAAATGTTTCCTCTATACTCTTTAAACCACATTGGATCAACATCACCCCCTCCCCACCCCACCCCCGAGTCAATCCCCTGTCTTCTGCAAAGGCTATTCTGTGTGGTGAGTTGATGGTCATGTGATTTCTATCTGTTTACTCTTTCTTCTTTAGAAAACCTCATTTTACATTGATATAACTCCAGTGAAGAAGAATGAATTTTAGATCCATAAAAATTCCAGAATCTTGTTTGGGTTAGCATACAGAGTCATAAATGGCAGGAAGAAGAAATAAGCTCTTGATTGGAAGAAGGATGCAGAGAACAATCCTTTGTCTTCATCTATACCTGTGCAAACTTAATATTTAAAATATTTTCCTAGGCTTCATATTTAATATGATGATGTAATTTTGGGCAATGGGAGAAAACCGAAGTTTTTGTTTTGTTTTATTTTAGCACACTCTGGCAAATTTTAACTTGTAATCTGAAGTGTCTGGTCAAAAATTATGATCTTTCATTGTTCTATATACATGTATTGAATATGGTCTAATTGTGGGTTGTAATAGAAAGTGGTACAGGCAACGGTAATAGGGGAAAACGTCTTATAGGGAAATCAGAGGAGGCTCTGTAGAGACAGAGTGCTTGAGCTAAGTCCAGCGATATTACAGACAAGAGAAAGGCATTTGGATGTCTTAGTGTATTTGGCATGTTTGAAGATTTGGTGAATGGTTTCATACCATGAGAGAGAGGAAACAAAGACATATAATGAAGAACTTGCATGCACTATTAACTAACAAAAATTTCTTACTAGAATATAAGTTCCACGAGGGCCAAGATTTTTGTCTGTTCTGTTCACTGATAGATCACCGATACCTAGAACACCAATATCTAGAACAGTGCCTGGCAGTACCAAGTACTAAAATATTTACTAAATGAATAACTATTATTCTGTGGACCAATAACTAAAAACCCATTGCTTAGCAGAGTCACCTAGGCAAGCATTTAAAATCCGATTCCTCAGACATGGGGTCTTAGGAGTTGTATCTTTATAAAGTTCATCTGATATTTCGGAATTACTTCCGTTGGCTTTGCAACGGAAAGTATGAGCTTCATTATTTCAGTTGGATGGGTCATTAGTTTCCTTTTCTTTGCTGTAGACATCTGTGGCATCCCTCCATTTAGTCTCCAGTGGCTTTCAAGAAGAATTGTAGAGGGGGACGAAGCCTGCCCCCACTGCTGGCCATGGCAGGTGGGCGTGAGGTTCCTAGGCAGTCACCAGTGTGGAGAGCCCATCCTCAGCCCTACTTGGATTCTGACCGCAGCCCACTGTGTGCAATCGTGAGTGAAACTGATGATGTTTTAATACTGTATTTAGCACATGTCTTTATACACTGTGCTTGGACATAAGTATAATTGTCTAACTACTGAAGTCATCCAGACTAATTTTAAAGCATGAATCTTTTGGTGATTTCCTACATAGCCATCTAGCCTCTATTTAAACAATGTCAGTGTGGAAAATGTTAACCAAAACTTGAAATTGCTCATCCCATTACAGCAATCCATGATTATTATGTTGAGCATAAGTCTGCTTCTCTGTAACAGAAATCTGTTGTTTTAAATTTACTGGGGTTCCAGAACACAAGAACTAAGTCTGGTTCTTCTTTCACATACAGTGCTCCCTATACCTGAAGACCTTTCTCAAATGGCCCTTTTAAGTTGCAGTGCCACTTCTCCTGGATTGATTTAGTGTTGTCTTTCTTAAAATATGGCTCACAACAGTGGAGGGGACAGAAGGATAATCTGCCACCGTGGTCACTGGACCACTAGTGGACCAAAATTCTGATTAACTTCTTCAATGTTTTCAAATTTTGAATTATGCCATGATATGAAAAAATGTACGTAGTATGTCATCTAAAGAGTAGTAAATGTTCATATGTGTCCCTGCCATTCAGTTTGGGAAGAATCCTTGCACTTCTTAAGACCCTCCAATGCCCCAGCCAAGAGGTAGACACTATGCCAAGTTTTGTATTTATGATACCTTTCCTTTTTTTAATTTAACATCTGTGAACCCCTGAAATGAGCCTATTGTTTGATTTTTTTTGGTTTTCATAATGTAAAAGAATTGTAGTTTGTATTTTTTTCTGTGCCTTGCTCTTATCCTCATGTTATACAGATAAGCCACGTGACTGTGTAACTGTAATTAATTCATTTTCAGTTCAGGCTACCTAAGTCAGTCGTCTGTTGGTGAGTTCTGGTTGCTGGTATTTTATTTTATTTTTATTTTTTAAGATTTATTTATTTATTTATTTATTTGACAGAGACCACAAGCAGGCAGAGAGGCAGGCAGAGAGAGAGGTGGAAGCAGGCTCCCTGCTGAGCAGAGAGCCTGATGTGGGGCTCCAACCCAGGACCCTGGAATCATGACCTGAGCCGAAGGCAGAGGCTTTAACCCACTGAGCCACCCAGGCGCCCCTTATTTTATTTTTTTTAACTCCAGGATGATTCCAAAATACAGCCTCGATCAAGCACCATTGTTTTGCTTGCTCATAGTAGCCAGCCCCATTCCTCAAACACACCACTCTTCCTCTTGTCTCCAGGTGTCTGTGGTTGCTGTTCCCTCTGCCAGTCAGGACACCATATTACATTTAGTTGGCATGTCACATAAAGCTCCTCTTGGCTCTAAGTATCACAGACTTGCCTTGTTTTGGATGATCTTCCCAGTTTTGAGGAGTACTCCGCTGTTATTTTGTAGAATGTCCCTCCGTTGGAGTTTGTCTGGTATTTCCTCATGGTTTTACTGGGATTATGGTTTTAGAGGAGGAAAACCACAGTGGTAATATGCCATTCTTACTATATTATTTGAAGGTTACATGTTATCATCATGACTTGTCACTGATGATGACTGTGGCTAAGGCAGGGTTTGCCAATCTCCATCATAAAGTTACATTTTCCTCCTTTCCACACTTACTCTTTGGAAGCAAGTCACTTAGTATAGATGACAGCTGAGACTCTGGGTATTAAGCTCCATCTCCCTGAGTGAAGAGTATTTATATAAATTGTTGGAAATTTTCCTGATGGGATGTCTCTTCTCTATTTATTTGTTAAATAATTTGTTTATATCAGTATGGACTTGGGGATATTTAGTTTAAAATGCAACATAATACTATATAAAATACTAACGTTCTGTTGCTCAGAGGGTTCCAGCTTTGACCAGTGTCAGCTCTTTCAGTGTCTTTCGTGTGTGTCCGTTTGTGACACTACAGAATGATCCATGTTTATCTTACATGTTCCCTGCTCAGTCCTGGAATCAGTCATTTCTCCAACGAGCTCTGGTTTATTTTATTGGAGAATGGTATGAGAAATTAAGATCTCAGTGGCCAGTGTACTAGTTGCTACTAGGGTGTTATGGTGCTAGGTTCTCTCAGCAGACAGAGCTAGAAAATATAGCCATGCACACGAATCCATTTTATAAACCTAGCTTTCTTTCTGTATCTACATTAAGCTAAACATGAGGTCATGTGGATGTTTCCAACTCTGTCTAATACCACATCATTCATTCTAGCCTTCCCTCCCTTGGAGATGCCCATTTTATAATAATTCTATCAGAATTCATTTTGGTGTATCATGGAAAAGAAGCCTCAATAGTAGGTGGTTAATTAGTAAGAATTAATCTATTAGAGAAAACAAATATTAGTATAGAAGCTTGAGACACAGAAGTTTTGGCAGGTTCCCTTGTCAAATAGAATAATCTATTCTTGAGTTTATGTGATGGACCAGACCCCTTGTAGCAAGATACAGACCATAGCAAGACCATTCTTCATAAGGGAGGTGTTCAACTGGGTGAGTCAGTTGAGATTGGTAAGTACAATCAGCCGTAAATGTTTGTGAACCATTTAAGTTTACCACAAAAGGAATATTTGTGTAATTTCATCAGTGATTTATTTTAAAAAAAGATTTTTATGGGGCACCTGGGTGGCTCAGTCAGTTAAGCGTCTGCCTTCAGCTCAGGTTATGATCTCAGGGTCCTGGGATTGAGTTCTGCATGGAGTTCCCTGCTCAGTGGGGCACCTGTTTCTCCCTCTCCCCATGCTGTTCCCCCTGCTTGTGCTCTCACTCTCTCTGTCAAATAAGTACATAAATAAATAAAAGTCTTTGGGGGGAAAAAAAGATTTTTATAATAGTAATAATTGTGGGAAAAGGCTGTTAAAGAAAGTTATCAAGAAAAATCTAAGCTATCTCCATTTTATGATCCATTCCTCCCCATTAGAGGTGATCAATATTAAGAATGTTTTAATTATCTGATTTTCCACTAACATTTAACCACACAGGCATATAGTTTATAGTATTTGTACATACCACATATATTGTTTTATGACTTTTTGCACAAGACATTGTGCTTTCTATTGATAGTGATATGGAAAAATGTCTGTGGGACTCATTTTTTACCTTTTCATAGTTGCCTAACTACTTTCACCAAAGAAATGTTTTTTGAAGCCATTCCTTGCAGTGTATGGCTCTTAACACCGGAAGTGTTTGATAGGCCAGAGTAACAAAGGCGGTGTGTACCACTCGTGCCCTGGTTTTCTGGGAACTCTGCAATTGCTTCCCCTCATGGCTTTGTTTCTCCCGGCCTCTTCATTGACCTGGTAGACACCGAGGGCTCCATCCTCCATTGAAAGTGGCTTCTGCGTATCCAAATCCATTGATAATGGAAGTTTGCCGTGCGGGATAAGCCAGCCGGGGAGACATGCAAAGTCTGGGAGCTGAGGTAGACATCATTTTTGCTGAAGGTCACTAGGTGCCAGACCAGCCGACCTTGTTGGGTAGCACCCCAAGGACATTCAGGATAACTGGCAGCAACATAGTACCACGTCCCATGGCTTGCCTGGCACTGGTTGCTCTTAATATTAGCTCTCAAACTGTAGCATGCACCAGAATCACCCGGAGGGTTTCTGAATCTGTAAGTCTGACGTGGGGCCTGAGGATTTGTGTTTGTAATCCGTTTCCAGGTAATGTCCCAAACTTGAGGAAAACTGGTGTTCTTTTGCTGTTCCACACTAGTCTTTGTGCTCATTTGGGATTTTTAACTCATTTGAGGGGACTGTATTCACTTTGCAGTTATACATTGGAATCTTTCTGTCTCAAACTTTTTTTTTCCCCCCAGTTCCAGCTACTTTTTTTTCTGTAATTCAGCAGTGATCCTTCCTTCTCCCAAAGCAGAAGTGTCCTATGGGACCCAATGGAACATCCGATGTTAGATGGGGGATAAGACCCTAAGGATATAAGAAATGAAACTTGGTTATGAGCAAGGGGCCAGAAAGGATGGAGAAACTTATCACTTGCTACTTGGAGCTATCCTCCCACTAGTGGAAAAACTCGGGGTTTGTTGCCTCATAACATATATGTTGTTCTGTCATGATGCTTTTTATGTTGTGCTCTCCACCAAATTAAAGGATATTTGATGACTGGGCACCTATAGCATCACTAGAAATTGTGATCTACATTATCAGCTATACCATGATTTTTATTATTTCATTTTATTGTGCACACTATCCTCTATATATAGTAGAATGGCTTTAAGAAATAAGTTCCTTTACTACCAAGGAATAATTGAGAGGGTGACTTTGAAAATAAAGTTTAATCCTTCTGTCAGAGTGCATGGAGGATAATAACAGCACTAATGGCTGTCATTATGGAGTCATTACCATCTTCAGGGTACTTGCCAAGCACTTCACCTGAGTAGGCGCTCCCTTCATAAATGCACACTGAAACACAGGAGTAAGTCAGACCCCTCACGCGAGGAATTGAAATGAGCGTGGTTATGACTAGAGAGAAGAAGCCTACGTGTATGAAGAAACTTCGATGAATAAAGCACACTGAAAAAATAAGTGCAGTAACTTGACTTTTCCAAAGGAAACAAGTTGGAAAAGTTGAAGAATCTCAAAGCTGATGTGACAGAATATCTGTGACAACTAAGGGACTCTTTCCTCAGCTATTTCTTCACCTGGAAGTCTTAATGTGGCAGATTAAGGGATGTGGATTTCAGTTCGTTTTTTTTTAAACATCCATTTGAAGGATACTGAAAGTGCACAGATCTCAGGTTTATAGTTAGAAAAATTTGCACACAGGGAGCACCCCTGGGACCAGTGCCCACATCATGGAATGAAATACTCCCAACACCCAGCAGTCCCCTTTATGCCTCTTGCAACCATCCGCCCCTCCCCGAAAGCAACAACGTGGATGAGTTTTACCTGTTTTGGGAACTGATATATATTTTTAACCTCTGTTCTATTAATTCTGGTAGTTTGATCAAGGATAACAATTTGAGATGTATTCCTGTAAGATAATGTTTGGATACTTTTAACAGTAAAATATAGGCCAGAAGCTAACTTATTATGAATGTAGGGGTTTTTTTCTTTTTTTTTTTTTTTTAAGATTTTATTTACTTGAGAGAAGGGGACAGGGAGAGGGAAAGAGGTAGGGGAAGAGAGAGAGAGGGCATAAGTTGGGTGTGGGGAGAGGGAGAAGCAATCTCCCCAGGGGCGCCTGGGTGGCTCAGTGAGTTAAAGCCTTTGCCTTTGGCTCAGGTCACGATCCCAGGGTCCTGGGATCGAGCCCCGCATCTGGAGTCTCTGCTCAGCGGGGAGCCTGGTCCTCCCTCTCTCTGTCTGCCTCTCTGCCTACTTTTGGTCTCTGTCTGTCAAATAAAAGGATAGAATCTTAAAAAAAAAAAAAAAAAAAAAAAAAAGCAGTCTCCCCACGGAGTGGGAAGCCTGATGTGGGGCTCGGTCCCAGGACTCTGAGATCATGACTTAAGCCAAAGTCCGATGCTTAACTGACTGAGCCACCCACGTGCCCGTCCCTTTTTTTCCATGTATTCTTTTTTTTTTTTTAAGATTTTATTTATTTATTTGACACAGAGAGAGATCACAAGTAGGCAAAGAGCAGGCAGAGAGAGAGAGGGGGAAGCAGGCTTCCCGCGGAGCAGAGAGTCCAATGTGGGGCTCGATCCCAGGACCCTGGGATCATGAACCGAGCCAAAGGCAGAGGCTTAACCCACTGAGCCACCCAGGAGCCCCTTCATGTATTCTTATACTGTGAAATTTAAGTAAGCTGTACTTTCTCTTTTTTCGTTCTCAACCTAAAACTAGCCTTTGGTGTTATTTGGCGGGGTCTCCAAAGTCATTTTACGGCCCAAACAAAGGGGCGGGATATATAACTAAGAACTCTTCAGGTAGCTCAGGAAGTGTGTACCTTCCCAGCAAGGAGGCCACACAAAGGCACCAAACAGAAGAGTGGGTAGGCCATCTGGCAGAACTAGACTCATTGCCTGTCAGTAGAGCCACATGGGATTAGACCAAATGGTGAAAAATGTCTCTTCATGTCAGACCTTTGTTCTGGTTCTTTCTCCAGGAAAAATAATCCTCTCTTCTGGACCATTGTCACTGGACACCGTGACAGAACCCTGAAGGAACCAGCTGAGCAGGTGAGAAATATTTCTAAGGACAATTCTGCTGGTATTCTAAGTGTTACCACATGCTGGGGAATGCCTTTAGCTAAAATATATCATTAAGTATTCATCTTCTAGTGCCCCTTTACACTTACCATTTATACCAACATTTAAAGATACAATCTGAGATCACAGTTTAATCAGAGAATTGAGGGAGGAAGGTCAGGAAGTGCAAATTGAGGTCTGTGTACACAGGTGCACATGGCCTGGTTTCTCCAGAATGGCCAGTCCTCAGAGAGTGGTTCATGGCCTCCTGCAAATTATAAACAGAGATTGCCCTTTTAAATTCAGTACAGAGTCACCTTCGTTGCTGATGTATGGAAATGTGGAGATTTAAGGTTTATTTTGGACTATTATGCAGGGAAGTAGTTGGACTCATTGACTTGAACTTGTAATTCACTTACTCACCACTGATAGAGGTAAGAAGGGCAAAACACATCCTGGTGTGAGAAGCCTTTGATAGATGGAATCATGACTCTGACGTTGCCCTGATAGAGCTGAGCTCTCCTCTGGAGTTCAACTCCATCGTGAGGCCTGTGTGTCTCCCACAAAACATGGAACGGCTCTTTCCCTCGAAGACCAGTGCTGTGACTGGATGGGGGAGACTCAGTGAAGGTAAATGTTTTACTCTTGCCTACACAGGACTGCCAGTTGTTAATTTTGCAGATTTGGCATGGAGATGATACAAAGCAATATCTGCTTTAGCCTTTCTTCCTTCTGAAGTCTAGAACCCATGTTCGATTTGGTTTTAAGTGATCAGAGAATGAGTTATTTTATATTTTTCCTTTAGGGTGACTAAGTATAGTTAAGTTAGATCTGTGAAGGGCCGAATCACAAATTTTTTCATCTCTGCAAGCCATATGTTCTCTGTCACAACTTTTTAACTCTGCCATTGTAGTGCAAAGCAGCCATAGACATACATATGTAACAGAATGGATTGTGTTCCAGTAGAAGTTTGTTCGTGAAATCTAAATTTCATATACTGTTCATGTGTCATAAAATGTTCTTTGGATTTAAAAAAAAAATTTAAAAGTGTACAAACCAGGGGCACCTGGGTGGCTCAGTCGCTTAAGTGTCTGCCTTTGGCTCAGGTCATGATCCTAGGGTCCTGGGATCAATCCTGCTTCAGGCTCTCTGCTCAGTGAGGAGTCTGCTTCTCCCTCTCCCTCTGTTCTTCTGCTTGTGCTCTCTGTCTGTCAAATAAAAAATTTTTTTGTAATTAAAATAGTGTACAAACCAAACTAGTTCCCAGATTGTGCTATATAAGCCCAAGGCTGGCACAGAATTGGCCCACTGGCTGTGGTTTGCTGACCCCTGGGCTAGAGGCTAGAGTTCTTAGAGCCATAGCAAAATACTGACGGATCTTATTGGGTTCACATTTGCATTTTGCCTCTTTTTGCTGTATAAGATAATTTTCTTTTATGTTTTCCTTCTGTTTATATATCCTTTATTTGGAATCTGTGAGCTTGGGGAGAGGGGAATTCATCTTTGACCATGCACAGTGTACACGATCATAGCTTTCTGTACTACCTGCGGCCAAATTGCATTTTCCTAAAATCTGCACAACAACCATATAAGGAGATTTTATCCTCCCCAGGTTGTAAAGGAGGATGTTATGGCTCAGAGATTTAAGTACCTTGCCAAGATCCCATAACTAATAAATATCAAAGCTAGGATTTAAAATCAGCCTGGTTCTGTTGATAATTTTTGAATTTTTTTTTTTTTTTTAACATTTAGAATAAAATCTGAACTGCTAGTCTGGCTTGGAAAACTCTATGTGATTTGTCCTCCATTTACTTCTCCAACTTCTTTTCCTCCCTTTGTCCCCTTCAGGCATTGTGGTCTTCTTTCTTTGTCTTTAAACAAGACCTGTTCTACTTTCTGAAGCTTGGAATACCCTTGCTCTTCTCCCAGCTGCCTCCTCCTTATTCTCCTCACAGCTTCAACAGCACTCCCTCCTCCGGTCACTTTGCTGCTTCAGGACTGCCCTTCCATCACTCTCGGCACGACCCAGTTTTATCATCTCCTTACCCAGAAATGTACTTGACATTAGCATGTGTGATCATTCTCCAGGGCGTCTGGATGGCGCAGTCGGTTAAGCAGCCAGCTCTTGGTTTCAGCTCAGAACATGATCTCAGGGTCCTGGGATAAAGCCCCATGTTGGGCTTCTTGCTCGGTGGGGAGACTGCTTAAGGATTCTCTCTCTCTCCCCTCTCTGCCGTATCCCCCACTCACATGCTCTTGCTTGCACACTCTCTGAAATAAATAAATTTTTTAAATCCTTAAAATTAAAAAAAAAAAATCATTCTCCAGGCAGGTCTCATGCATTAGGGCGGAAACCTTGTGGCAGCACTTCCCTAATTCACCACCGTGCCCCAGAGCTATAGGTTTACCTGGCATAGAGTAAACACTCAGCAAATATTTTTTGACTGGCTTCTAAGCCCTTGAATAAATGTACCCATTCTCTGATACCTTCAACCTTCACCACTTCCATGACCACCAGACAACCGAGAGATGGTTAGAATCTTGTGAAAGAATTCATTCTTCCAATCTGAGAGAAAATGAGTTCTCAATTTCCAGACATGGTAAAGAACAGCGGTGGGGATGGTCCCTGAAAAGAGGGTTTTTAAATATCTTAAGTGTATTTATGTATTAATGGGGACATTAAACGAGCAGAAACTTTAGAGGCCAACCTTGGCTTAATGGCTAGTTCTGTCCCACAGTGCTATGAGATCTGATTTTCAGAACTCTGGCTTTTTTGTCTGTGAGTTCCATGTGATCACATGTGCAAACAGCTCACCTCACAATGTTATATTGGTGGGCAGGAGTCCTGTGACAGTACTATGTAAATGTAAGGTGATTTCTAATACTAAACTTAGCTTTTTTATTAACTAGGAATCCAAAATGATAGAATAAGTTTTGCATAAATACATATTAACACAGGCCTGCCCGAGGGTCAGTTATGAGTGTTTTAGTGTTCATTGTCAGCCTTACAGCCTTTATCCTTAGTCCTTTTAAATTGGAGTTAAGATTAGTCTCAGTGACAGTTGAGGAAAACGGAATGTGATTTTGGTTTATATTAGGAAATCATATAAACCTGTAACATTGATAATATATTTTATGTATAAATATACTGTATAAAAACATATCATCACATAAATTCTATACAATAGCAATTCATGTCTTGCTGAATTTTCCTTTCTGAATTCTTATGTGGCAATATGTGAAACACTAAACTTTGAATCAAAAGTAAGTGGGGAAAAAAATGTTTCTGGTGTTGTTCTCCTGACAATATATTCCTTGGCAAAGATGCCACACCTGAAAACAGACATCCTACATGAGACGCATTTGGTTCAGTAGTCCCCGTCAGCTCAGGTGAACCTGAGGGATGGCAACTACAGTAGTACAGATCAGTCTGAACTTAAATATGTTTGTTCACAGAATTGGGTTTTTACTTCATTACGAAGCTGCCTATGAATCCGTTCCTTCAGCAGACGGCGGCCTAGCAAGGAGCTTCCAACAGATCCAGGTGCTTGTGTTGGAAAGAGAGGTCTGGGAACGTGCTCACTCCTCTCACCAAGGAGGGCTCACGGAGAAGATGACGTGTGCTGACTTAGCAGCCTCTGGAGGGAGAGACTTCTGTCAGGTGAGAAGATTGATTTTTCAGAGGAAGATTCAAAGTCATTGTCTGCTGGGGATTCTCCTTAGAACAGGAGGAGACGCTCAGAGGCACAGGCCACCTGGCAGCCCGACAGTGTGCCCTTCCTGGAAGGCCAGTAGGATAACAGGAAGAGTGAGCACCTCACTCTGAACTTGCTGAGAGGCCAGAGCAGCCTACAGGCAGGAGAACAGGTGGGGACTAGGAGCCCATGGGCACGTAGGGCCTCAGAGAGATGCTAGGCTTTGGGAAAAGAGGAGCAAGCAAAGGAGGAGTCCAAGTCAGTGTATCCTAATTGCTTTTACATTAATATTAATCTCCTTTGTGTTCCCATTTAATTTTCTATCACGGATTAAAATGATCATGAAGAAAATGAGAAACTTTGAAGAACTGGTTGGCATATGAAGTGGAAAACAAATCCCAAAATAGTAGTTTAATTTCACATATTTAGAGGCAAAAGTGGTATAGTCATATCCACATGTCAGTTGGACAAATGTGCTTTTGGCAAGTTCAGGTCTACTAAGCGCAAGACAGAATGTGGACAAATGGATCATAAAACACCAGCTTTCATAACCATGAAGCCAAGAGAGGAATGTGACCTTAGAGATACAACCAAAAAGGATTTCTGATGCTCTGTAACCCTCCTTCAGCAGTCTGGATTTGAGGCAGCCTACTGATAGAAACCGTTGGGTCTTCAGGGCCAATACACTTCTCTGGGTTTATCATTTCATACCAGTCTAGAATACAGAGGGAAGAAAGGATGAATCTCTAGTCTGTACTGCTTTTTGATCCTTTTCACCTTAATCAAGAAAAAAGAACCAATGGGAGAAAACTGGGTGTTATCATAGGAAGAAGTCCTTCCATGTAAAAATGTGAGGAGAGAAAGAGGGAGGTCTCCTCTTAACACTGAGTATCAATTTATGGCAGTTAACCCCTTTTGTGGTGTCAAGTACTATTCAGACTCTGCTTTCTGCCTTTGAATTTGCATTCCCCAGAAGCTGACCTTGAGACAAAGATTCAAGTACAATGGTCTGCATGGGAAGTGCAGACATGGCTGGTAGGAAAGTCAGGAGGGTAGTATAGGGAAGGGAAGGCAGGAAATGCGAGAGAAGTTCTACAAAGTCAGCTACCACAGTAAAGGGACTGAGCTTAATCCTTCAATGCAAAACGCACTCAACACATTTGTCCCATCTGAGGAGTGAGGGAGCTGGGATATTTACATACTGCTTCCCCAAATTTGTGGTTCCAGGGCTGCTGGGGGAGGGGTCTCATGGTCCCTCTGCACTTTCCATACTGCTGGTCTCCCTTGTGGATGGGACTGACAGGGGAAGTGCCCTCAGGCACACAGCCAGGATGTGGCCTGGAAGACTTGAAGACTCTTGGAAGGGCACTCATACCATCTTCTAAAGGACATAAATGCTATACTGTACATATCAAATAGAAAAGTGCTCTGAATTAATGTGGTCATTTTTCCCCTTTTGAGGGATGGCTTTTCTCTCTGCTTCAAATCAAAGGAATCACAGATGGCTCTGTTGTCTCTGTCAGGTTTGACAGCATCTGACATTAAGGGCACACTTTACTGTGTACCAAGAGGGTAGAGGAGAACTAGGGAAGGAATTAGGTCCATGACAGAGGTGCGATCTTGGTGGGCCTTTACTTCAGCTACATCCAACTGTCCCTTTGCAGCACGACCAAATCTGCTGCCAGTACAAGGGGAGGAAAGGAGGAGCTGAGATTCTGGCTAATAAACGTGGCAAGCTAAAGAACACCAAGTTACTAGCAAGGTGACTTCAGAAACTTCGGTAAAGTGGACCCGAGTATTTCTATCAGGTAGTTGATTTTTACTTTCCTGTGTGTGCTTAGAAGTAATGGACCTGCTAATGTAATTTCTCCTCCGGGAAGGTGAAGTAGAATGTTGGAATGCAGAGATGTGGAGTTTCAGACGCAATGCAGAATTCTGTGCTGCTTTGCTCAGGACGCATTCTAGATGGTCTTTGAAAATGTCAAGTTCTTTGACCTACAGGGTGATCTCGGTCTTCCCAGAGTAGCCTATGTCCTGTTCCTGCTGACTTTTTCAATCTATTTCATACAGCTTATATATTTCAGCCACACCGAATATGTTCTGACCTTACAAGTCCCTGAATCCTGCCTGTCTTGGGGCGGTAGCCCAGGCACCAGTTCTGCATAAAATGCTATTCCTCCCGGCTTTTGAAAACCCAGCTCCTTCTCATCTCTCATATATCAGCTCAAGTGTTATTAAAACTACATACACCCACACAAGTGTGTAAGCACATACAACTACCTGCCTTTATTCTCTACTTTTTGTTCTATTTTCTTTGTAGCTATTATCACCATCTAATTTGTTTATACTCTCTCATGCTCAGAATACCCAGCTCACAGTAGGTACTACATAATTCTTTAAAAATAAACAGATACCATTTGCTTATTGAATATTTACCATATGGTAAGCCCTGGGATAGACCCTGGCAATAGTAAATGAATTAGGCCCTTCTGGATCATGGAATGTTTGTAACTGCAAGAAAAAAAAAAAAATCTTTATTTAGTATGTGTTGGTACTGAATGAATCAGTAATTTAAAGAAAAAACAAACCTGACTTGACACATCGGACACTTACAAACTGGAAAGAGGTCTCAAGTGTAACCTTACTTCATAAAGAAAAAAAATTAGGCCCAGAGAACAAGTTAATTGTTCTGCATTACAGACAAGGGAATCTATCTCCCTATTCCCACCTTAGGATTTCTTCCATAAAATTCTTCATATAAAATAGAAGTCATGTCAAATATGTCATAAGCTCAGTTTATTTTATCAGAAGACAAAAAGTACATTTCTGTAAAAGAAAAAGGGGGCTGATTAAAAATCATTAAGCCTGGGGCGTCTGGGTGGCTCAGTGGGTTAAAGCCTTTGCCTTCAGCTCAGGTCATGATCCCAGGGTCCTGGGATGGAACCCCACATTGGAGTCTCTGCTCAGCAGGGAGCCTGCTTCCCCCTCTCTCTCTGCCTGCCTCTCTGCCTATTTGTGATCTCTCTGTCTGTCAAATAAATAAAATCTTTAAAAAAATCATAAAGTCTACTTTAAAAGATAAATCCTATGCTTTAAGGCTTTTTTTTGTTTACAGCTTTATTGAGCTGTAATTGACATATAACACTGTGTCAGTTGCAGATGTACAGTGTAACTATTTGATACCCCTGTATATTGTGAAATGCTTACCATAGTGGAGTTAATGAACACCTCTGCCATCTCATATAATTAGCATGTCTTTCTTGTGGTAGGAGCACTTAAGATCTACTTTCTTAGCAACTTTTAAATATCTAATATAGTATTGTTAACCATAATAACCATGCTGTACACTAGAATCCCAGAATTATTATAACTGGAAGTTTGTACCCTTTGACCAAGATCTCTCCCATTCCCCACCAGCTCTCCCCACCCCAGCTTCTGGTAACTATCCTTCTACTTTTTGCTTCTTTGAGTTCAGCTTTTTTAGATTCCACGAATAAGTAATATCATACAATATTTGTCTTTTGCTGTCATATATATATATGTGTGTCATATATATATGTCATATATATGTATATGCCATATTTTTTTATCCATTCATCCTGTGACAGAAAAATAGATTGTTTTTATGTCTCAGCTATAGTGAATAAAGCTGTGATATATATGGGAGTGTAGATAACCTCTTTGATAACCTGTTTTTATATCCTTTGGGTATATACCCAGAAGTGGATCATATGGTAGTCAATTTTTAATTTTTTAAGGAAAGTTTATATTATTTTCCATAGTGATGTACCAATTTACGTTCCTACCAGCAGTGCAAAAGGATTCCCTTTATCCTTGCCAACATCTTTTATGTCTTTTTGATACCTATTCTAACAAGTGTGAGTTGGTATCTCATTGTACTTTTGATTTGTGTTTCCCTGATGACCGGTGAAGTTGAGCATCTTTTCACATACCTGTTACCCATCTGTATGTCTTCTTTGGAAAAATGACTATTCAGATCCTCTGTCCATTTTTTAGGTTGCATCATTTTTGTTATCAGTTTGTATAAGTTGTTTATGTATTTTGTATATTAACCCTTTATCAGATATGCGATTTGCAAATATTTTCTCCCATCCCATAAGTTGCCTTCTCATTTTGTTGATTGTTTCTTCCGAGGTGTAGAAGCATTTTAGTTTCATGTAGTTCCACTTAATTGATTCATTCTTTTATTGCTTGTGTTTTTGGTTTCATATCACCCCTTCCCCAAAATTGTTGCCAAGACCTATGTCAAGCAGCGTTTTCCCTGTGCTTTCTCCCCGCCGCCCCCGCCCGTGTTTTCTTCTAAAGGAGTTCTACAGTTTGTAGTCTTATATTTAAGTCTATAATCCATTTCAAGTATAAAATAGAGTTCAATTCCACTCTGCTTATGGTCGTCCAGTTTTCCCAACATCATTTTTGAAGAGACTATCCTTTCTTCATTGAGTATTTTTTGCTCCTTTGTCTCAAGCATTAGTTGACTGTATATGCAAGGGTTTTTCTGGGCTCATGACTCTAGCCCATTTGTCTATGTGTCTATTCTTCTGCCAGTATCATACTGTGTTGATTACTATAGATTTGTAACATATTTTGAAATCAGAAAATGTGATGCCTCCAACTTTGTTATTTCTCAGGATTGCTTTTTAGGCTATTTAGGGTCTTTTGGGGGCCCATGTGAATTTTGGTTTGTTTGTTTTTTTTTGTCTCTCTATGAAAAATGCTATTGGAATTTTTAAATGCACGTCATTGAATCTGTAGGTGGACACAACATTGATTCTTCCAATCTGTGAACATGGGATTATGTTTTCCATTTGTTTCCATTTTCATCAATTTCTTTCATCAAAGTCTTATAGTTTTTAGGGTAGAGATCTTTCACCTTTTTGGGTAACTTTATTCCTAAGTACTTTTTTTTTTTTGAAGGTTTTGTATATAAGATTGTTTTCATTTTTTTTATTTCCTTTTTTTTTCAAGTTTTAATCTAAATTCCAGTTAACATAACAGTGTGATATTAGTATCAGATGTAAAACTTAGTGATTCAACACTTACATACAACACCTGGTGCCTATCACAAGTGTCCTCCTTAATCCCCTGTTTATCTTTTGTGCATTTTGTTGTTAGTGTATAGAGACACAAGGGTTTTCTGTATGCTTGCTTTGTACCTTGAAACGTTACTCATCATTTAGTTCTAATAGGTTTTTGTTGTTGTTGTTTATAGTTCTAACAGTTTTTTGATGGAATCTTTAGGATTTTCTCAGACCATATCACCTGCAAATAAAGACAGCTTTGCTTCTTCCTTCTTGACTTACTCCTTCCTTCCCTTTATTTCTTTTTCTTGCCTGGTTGTCCTGGCTAAAATGTCCAGTGCTATATTGAATAGGAATGATGAAAGTGGGCACCCTGGGTTTGTTTCTGATCTTACAAGAAAAGCTTTCAACTTTTCACTATTGAGTATGATGTTAATTATGGGTTTGTTATGTATGACTTTTATTATCTTGAGATACGTTCCGTTTATATCCAGTTTGTTGAGAGTTTTTCTTGAAGGGATGCTGCATTTTGTCAAATACATTTTCTATACTATTCAAATGATAAGATTTTTAAATTTCATTCTGTTAATGTGGTATATCATATTTATTGATTTGGGTATGTTGAACTATCCTTGTATCACTGGAATAAATCCCCCCTGATCATTGTGTATGATCTTTTTAATGTGTTGTTGAATTTTGCTAGTATTTGCTAGTATTTTGGTAGTATTTTGTTGAGGATTTTTGCACCTATGTTCATCAGGGATGTTGGCCTCTAGTTTTTTTTTTTGTTTGTTTGTTTGTTTCCTTCTTATGGTGTCCTCATCTTGCCTTGGTGTCAGGGTAGTTCTGACCTTACCTAACAAGTTTTAGAGTGTTCCCTCTTATTCAATTTTTGGGAAGAGTTGGAGAAATGTCGTTAATTCTTCTTTAAATGTTCAGTAGAATTCACCAGTGAAGCCATCTGGTCCTGAGCTTTTCTTCACTGAGATGTTATTGATTAGTGATTCAGTCTCCTTGCTCAAATTGGTCTATTCTGATTTTCTGTTTCCTCATGACTTGGTCTTGGCAGTTTGTCTGTTTCTAGAAATTTATCTATTTCTTCCAGGTTATCTAATTTTTTGGTGTATAGTTATTCATAGTCTCATGATTCTTTGTATTTCTGTGGTATCAGTTGTAATATCTTTGTGATTTTATTTATTTAAGTACTCTAAGGTATACAAATTGACAAAATATTAGTATTTTTAAATTAAAGAAATGTGTTATGAATAAATTATTTACTATTCCTCTTCCAAAATTGAAAGCAGGAGCTCTGATTAAAGCAAATTTTTAGAACACATTTTCTTGGTGTTTCAGGGAGACTCTGGTGGCCCATTAGTATGTAGACATGAAAAAGTTCTCTTTGTCCTATACAGCATTGCCAGTTGGGGGGCTGGCTGTGCCCAGCCAGGGAAGCCAGGTGTATTTACCAGGGTGAGTGTCATCTTGGACTGGATCCAATCCAAAATCAAAGGTAAATATTTTTCAGATATTATTAAAACAATTCCTCTTTCTTTAGAGCAGGCTTGTGAGAAGTGAGTATTGTAGATATCAGCATTATGAAAGAAAAAAACACATGAAGTAGTATTTCATTTATTTTAGTTTCTAAAACATTAAAATGCACATTAAAATTCTGTAAGAATACATTCTCCCTTGGGCAGAGTGAGAGTAAAACTGACTTTTCCTGAGGCTGCTGTAATCCTAGATTTGCATTTTCTTTTGATAAAAGCTGTTTTGGTATAGACTACATTTTGTTTCGAGGCTTTCATCTTTATTTATTTTTAACATGCTCTCTCCAGGTACAGGTCCTGTTTCACTTCAGATAAGTAAGGAAAGCAAAACATTACGAAGACGACAGTTGCCACCACCCACACCTTCAACAGACGATGCATCTGGACCAGGTAATAGATGTTCATGTTATCCGTGTAATGCAGCTAGGAAGAATTTGGCAAAAAGCATGGTATGCCCTGGTTCAGTAATTTTCTGTGGAACAGGATAAGCCCTGTATTTTCATTCTGGCTGGTAGTTTAAACTGAATTTAAAAAAAAAAAAAAAAAGGAGTGTTGTTACTGTGATCATTTGGTTTCTTTTCTACCCCCAGAGATACAGCAGTTGCAGGTTAAAAATATATGTATTGTGATTATGAACAAGTGCTTGAATTCTGAAGGAGTGCATAGAATTATTCTGACCTCTGGTGTATTTTTTCCTACATAAACAAAGGTCCTTAGATTTTCAGGTATCTCACTGGCTGAGAACTCTGGATATGAGAGAGAACCACAGTCAGCATCAGTGTTAGTCACTCGTAATCCCCCACAGTTGTCAGTACTTGTTTGCTAATAGAATTTTTATTTTTAGTTACAATCAAACTGCAACTAGAGAATTAGAAGTCTGTAATTGCCCTGTAGGGAGTTGAAAGTTCTATGATGCCATCATTCTTGGTTTCCAGGTGGTCACCATCTCTTCCTTCTCACCTATCTCTGTCCCCATCCATCCCACATACAGTCAAGGCCAGTAGACAACCAGGAAGGAGGTGGGGGGGGGGAATAGAAGAGGAGATAAGAGATGGGGGAATTTCTAGAGTGATGACCTTCAGTAGGAGAAAGGGGATGCGATCTTGTGCTTGGCAGGAGGGATTAGTCTCAGAAAGTAGCAAAGTGTAGTTCATCCATAGTTGCTGGATGGAGGCAGAATACTTATGCTGGGGGATGGGTACATGTGGGGGTAGGAACTTTTGGCAATTTTTAAATTGCTTCTCTGCATTTAGTAGATGGAACAGGGTTGTGAAAGAGGATTTAAGGGTTTTAAGTGGGAAAAAGAGGAAGTATAAAATAGTTCTCTAAAAAAGTGACAAAGTGCATGGACTAGGAAAATGTAGTAGGATTACTGGGCAACGTAAAAGCCTCTGAGATTAATGAACACGAATTAAGAAGGAGTTAGCTTAACTTAGTTAGCTTAGTTGTATATTTTCTTCTGGAGACACTGAGGGGTAGCACATAGAGGAACAGATGGAGGGTAGATTCATCAGAATGGGTTTCTCAAGTATGCAAGAGTATAAGGGTATTGAAAGCATGTAGGAGGAAGGGATGAAAATGATGTGTTATTGGAATTTAAGCTAGGAAAACAGTGAATGAGGGTGAGAGATGAGTTAGGGACAAAGAAAATGTGGCTGAATAGATGTATATCAAGTCTTAAAAGGTGAAAGGAACATTGGGGGGAGCTGAGAAGGTAGAAGATTGTGGATGGAGACAGCAGTGCTTGAAACAGAGCCATGGAAGGCTTGGTGTTATTGCTGGGGACAGGGTCCTGAGGGGCTCAGCACTGGGGTGGGTGGCTGACGTCAGCTGGAGAACAAGATCATCAGAAGGAAGTTGAGAAATTAAGAAGCTGATGTGGTAAGCTCATCGTCTATAGCAAGATTTGTGGCAGAAATAATGTTGGAGAAAATGACTGCTAAAATCTTCTAAGAATAAGAAGGGGTAATATGGGGACCATTTGTGGGTGGCATGGTCTGACAACACAAGAATCAAAGGGTCCTACTTCGATTAAAAGTGAATCTGAATTGGGGTTGAGATGGAGAGCAGACTTAGGTTCCAAGATCCTAAAACCTAATGATTTTGATGGCTTGAGTTAAATGAACAATTTTAATTAGTACATAAGAAAGTGAATGCATATCAGGCTCTTAAAATAGAGATGGCATGATGAATGACAACAATCAACAAGTGATGTCCAGTAGTGACCAACCAGTACATTCATTAAACTGTCCCATTCGGCAAATGAACATTAAAATGTAGAGATATTTTTCATTTGTCTGTGTTCAGAAATACATGTGCATGCCAGAGAAATTTGCAAGTTTCACATAAGAAAGGGTACTGTTTTGTTTTAATTCTGTGGATATTCTATGAGAGAAAATGTTGGGACTATCCTATATTTAACATCCATCTACTCCCACCCCTGGGTTTTTACACAAGAGGATTGTTAGCCCATTTATAAAAAGAAGTGGCTTCACATGATTTGGTTCATTTTCCAGGCGGATTTGTCATAGAGGATTCATGTGGACAGGAAAAAAATGACTGAAAGGACATGTTGGGGTCAAAGCCACAATTTCAGTTGCTTGGAGCAAGGAGAGAACTTAATTCTCTTGTTTCATACCCTATCCCAGATTGGAGGGCATGGGGTGGGGGAAGATTAGAGATTGGGAAATCTGTTAGGTTACTATTAAATCAAAGTAGGTCTATAAATATCTAAATTAGATTATGGTAGCCATCTAAATGAAAGGGGAGAATTTGCAAAGAGATAACAGGACTAGGCGATTGAATAGAGTCCTGAAGTCTTATAAATTTAATTTCCCTTCTTCACCTTCTGCCACTCTTCATTTCTACTGTTCATGAAAGAATATTTATTTATGTGTCACCTGAGGTCATTAATTTCTCTATGGCAAGGCATCTACAATAATGCATGTATTAATTCATACCCAGACATTAAAATGTGTTCATTTGAATATAGACTATTTCAATTTGAAATTGCTCAGCGGATTTTTGGCGAGGGAATACACAGAGGGGAAGGAAGAGGAGTCGAGGCTGTGAGCTGAAGGAGTAGCGGATGGCAAGGTCCATGGGCCAGAGAGGCCCTGGCACCGGAGGCTCTGTAGGTAGCCTATAGGTCTAGAGGTGCCCTTGTACTTAAGAGCAAGTGGAAGAAGTGAGAGACCTTCAAATGTATGCAGCACGTCCTCCTTTTTGTGATCTCAGTCACGAATTCCATGAATGTAATCATTTGTCCCAGCAAGATAAATGCTCAGTGAAATTAGTGAAGCTTTTAGGAACAGAACTTCAGTTGCATCTCAAAGAAGGAAGGAAATGAAAACATGCAGGATGGAAAGAGTGCATACTCACTGTGCTTCTTCTAAGGCATTTAAAAGATTCGGTGAAAAAAAAATTTTAAATAATGATAATTTAAATTCTACTCCTACAACCTCATTTGAAGAAAATAGGATGTGTTAAATGGGATGATCATTTTTACCCAAGGCCATGTAACAGTAATGAAGTTTTCATTCTCTTCTTACAAGCCTAAGTTTTTCAAGTTCATGATAGAACCTCACTCTGCTTTGTTCATGTTGGTCCCTAGTGTCTGTGTGCTCTGAACTGTAGGTTGTTACTCTGAGGTGGAACTAGAAGAGCCCAGAGGCTTTTTTGGCAGCTCCAGGATATCCACCTAATTATAGAGGAGAACTGGAATGTTCTTGGGTGCTCAGGTTGTCTCCGAGCAGTATGGCAAAATTGACGGTTAAGTACCTGTCGCTGCCTTGGTCTCCTGTGTGTCCAGATTCAGTTATGACTGTTTATGAAGAAAACCACGATGAGAAAAGTGTGTCTGGTAATAATCCTTGCTGGCATTTCAACTTGGAGTTGGGAGGCTTTTCTGTATAGGCAGCTTAAAATCACAAGAGAACTTGACTTGGGTACCACTACCACCAAAGTGTTGATTCATGTAATAGGTATGCCTTTCTTTCTTTTCTCTCTTTCTTTTCTTTTTTCTTTTCTTTCTTTGCTTCCTTCCTTTTTTCTTTCCTTTCTTCCTTTTCTTTCTTTTATTTTTCTCTTTTATTTTTATTTTATGTTTTTTTTTAAAGATTTTATTTATTTATTTGACAGACAGAGATCACAAGTAGGCAGAGAGGCAGGCAGAGAGAGAGAGAGGAGGAAGCAGGCTCCCCACTGAGCAGAGAGCCCGATATGGGGCTCCATCCCAGGACCCTGGGATCATGACCTGAGCCGAAGACAGAGGCTTTAACCCACTGAGCCACCCAGGTGCCCCTATTTTTCTTTATTTTTTCTAAGATTTATTTATTTATTTATTTGACAGAGAGAGAGAGAGATCACAAGTAGGCAGAGAGGCAGGCAGAGAGAGGGGGGAAGGAGGCTCCCCGCCGAACAGAGAACCCGATGCAGGGCTTGATCCCAAGGACCCTGAGATCATCCCATTTTTCTCCTGTGATCAGATGGCCTTCTCCATCTGCCTTGAATAAAACAGCTCCAGGTCTTAGAGCTGGAGTAAAATCCCAGATCCCTAGCACGACCTTCTGTCTCCCTCGCTGACTCACATGATCAGGTGCTTGTATTCTCACCTCAGGGCCCTTGTCCCACTCCTTCTCCACCTGTCCCTCATCTCCCTCAAGGCTTGACTAGAATGTCACCTTCTTAAGAGACCTAACTTAATTGCTATCAATTACATCACCTTTTGCCTGGATACTTAGTGCCTCCCCCTTTTCTTTAGCAATTACTGTCTTCCAACATTGTGATTTTTTTTTCACGTTTGTGGTTTGTGTTTTCTCTATTGAACGTGAGCTTTCAGGGGCTAAAGCTTTCATCTCCTCATCTGAAGACTCTCCAGTGTCTGGAACAGTATGTGAGACCTAGAAGAACTGAATGAGTGAATCAGTGAACCATAGGTCACCTTCTCAAAGAGGACTTCTCAGTCTAAAGTAGTGCCATTCATTCCCTCCCAAAGTCCTTTTCATTATATTCTGATTATTTCACTCATAGCCTTGATCAGTTTTTGAAATCATCTTCTTTATTTACCTGGCTAAAATAAAAGAATCATGAAAGCAGGGATCTTGATAATTTGCTTCTTATTGTGTCTTCCCACATTAGAATCATCCCTAGAGACACAGCACAATTTTTTCCAGGAGTGTATACTGATAAATAACTCTTCAGAAAAGCTATGTCAGTTTTCACTGCCATTGGCAATAATGGGGAGCCTCTTGCACTATAACTGAATATATTAGTTTGATAAGCACTTTCACTTTCATTTTAATCATTAGCGGATTTTTTTTCATATGTTGGTTGGCTGTTTTTTTTAATTTCTTGTCATTACCATACATTTTTGAATATTTTTATTGGTTTACAAAAGCTGTTATACGTACATTTTCCTTTCTCATAATTTGCAAGTATTTATTGATAAGGTTGCTATTTGCCTTTCATTTTTCTTAAGATTTTATTAATTTATTAGAGAGTGGGCACACACACACACACACACGAGTGAAGGAAAGGGCAGAGGGGAAGGAAAAGGAAGAGAGAAAGGAGACTCCCTGCTGAGCGTGGTAGTTGATTTCACGGGGCTTGATTTCATGATCCTGAGATCATGACCTGAGCTGAAACCAAGAGTCAAATGTTTAACCAACTGAGCCACCCAGGTGGCCCTTTAATTTTTATTATGTTGATGTAAACATTAAAAATTTATTTAAATCTATCTATAAACACCTTTACTTTGATTTATCTCATTGCTTTTTAAGTATTTATTGTTCATTCTGAGTTCAGAAAAAAAAATTAATCACAAACTTCTTTAATCCTGCTGAAATGTTTTTTCTCATATGGTAAAGTGATGCTATATCTATATCTCTAAGAGAAAACTATTTTCTTTCCATCTTGTAGCATTGTATTATATACTAGATTCCCATATAAAAAGAAACATTTTCTGGGAAAACTTATCTTTATCTTTATAACCTGTTGAGAGCCATGCTTGGCTTTGTTGTGGATTAATTTGGGGGAATCCTATAATTTTCCAACCTAGCATTTCTTTGATCTGAAATTGTCAGCTTGAACCTTGTAGAATGGTTCTTTCTCTTCAGATGATAGCTAACAACTGCAAGACTGTAATGGAGGTATTGTCCCTTATTCAAGCCAGATAGTATTCTTCTATACCATAAAATGCTATCTTTTTCCCTGTGGGAGCCAGCAACTCACTCGTCCAACAGCTGCATTGATCTGCACTTGCTGTGAATAAGTATTTGATCATTTTTCAAATACTATTTCAACAGCATTTTACCCTAATGTGTTATGCAATCTAATACATTTTGTTCTTTTCTTCTTCTCAGATATAATCTCTTCCTTCCCTTGCTCCACAAATACTTGTAAGGAGGATCAGCTAGGGGCTAGAGACCCACTCTTCTTGGTTGTGGGGATTCAGGAGTGAACAAAATGGACAAAAGAAATCCCTGCCCTTATCAAACTTATATTCCAATGGAAAGTGGACACATAATAAGAAAATAAAATATGCAATACATTAGGTAGATGAGCTGGGGGGGAATGAAGTGGGAAGAAAGAGATGCTGGGATGTAGGTGCCCTACAGTCATATGTAGTATAACCAGCAAATTTCTTTCTGAGCAGGTGATATTTAAATAAATGTAGGGTGATACTGACTCTACTAAAAGAGAAGTTTGATCCTAAGACACTCACAGGTGCTTTTCACACCTTCTTAATCAGCCCTCTGAATTGTTTTAGAATTATGGTTACAATTTTCCCTTTCAGCTTTGACTCAGGTCCTCAACCTAAAGCAATAAAAAAAAAAAAAGAAAAGAAAAGAAAGATTGACTATAGATAAAGAATAAATTTTCAGGTAGAAGTTTTTCCATCATTGATTTTTCATGGTGAGATATTTTTAATAAGTAGGTTACTCTACTGGAAGAAAAATGACATATCAGCATCATTTTAAAGATGAAGTAATTTACTTCTTGCTGTCCTTCAAGGGAGCAATATGGCATAGCAGCCTGTGATGAGGACTGGATTTAGATCCTGAGTCCCCACCCTACCAGTCTAACTTTGGGTGAGTTATTTGAGTTCTGGAGCCCTGTTTCCCTCATTTTGCAGAGTGAAATAAATTCCTCCCTCATAGGTACAAACTTGTAACTAGTAGACAAGTCCTGGAGATCGAGTACACACTATATTGAATATAGTCAACATTTATATTATAATCCTCAAACTTGCTGAGGGACTAGATCTTAATTATTTTTACTACAAAAAAGAAATGATAACTATGAGAGGTGGTAGTAGCTAACTATCACTAGAATGGCAGTCCTATTACAGTATATAAATGTATCAAATAAACATGGTGTACATTCTAAATTTATACAATGTTAAATGTCAAATATATTTCATTAAAAATAAAACTAATGGCTCTACCTAAAGTAGAGAAACTGCTAAAAACATTTTTAGTTCTTGTGTTTTACTAGATTTCATTTTTTTAAACCTAGGTGAATTATGTGGAAGAGGGCTTACCCAATGATTTTCATGAGCTCCGGACCCCTAGTGAGAGTGGTATTTTGTTCGTTTGTGCAAGGTTCTTTGGGCATAAGTTACATTGTTTTTAGAGTCCAAGGTATGCTTCATCATTTTATAAAGTTAAAAATCAGTGTTTTTCTTTTTAGAGTTATTTCAAAGCATATACATTATTTTGTAAGAAATGGTGTTTCTGTGAGAGGCTCATGTTTGAAAGGAAAGTGTATTTAAGGGATCTGAGATTGGTCAAATTCAAAAGAGAAACTGGATAAGAGAAAGTGGATAACTTGATTGACTTGTAAATAATCCAGAATTGTGATTTCTGGATGTGACTCCGATACGTTGATTGCAAGACAACATTTTCTATTGTGATGTGGTTTTGTGCCACGGACGGCCTTTGCTGTGGATCAGAATATAAGGGTTCTACCTTTTAGCTGGTTGACTAGCTGTCTATCATTTATTATCTCTGTATCAGAATTTTCTTTATAATGATATTATAATAAAAGTTTAGAACAAGTTTTTAAGACAAAACTACACAAATGTTAGATGCTAGCATCGTAATGTAAATGCTGATTTATCAGATTGCATTTTAGGACAAGTAATTAATACGGCTTTTTAAAAAAGATTTTATTTATTTATTTGTCAGAGCGTACAGCAGGAGGAGTGGCAGGCAGTGGGTGAAGCAGGCTCCCTGCGGAGCAAGGAGCCCAAAGCGGGACTTGATTCCAGGACCCTGGGATCATGACCTGAGCCGAAGGCAGACTTAACAGACTGGGCCATCCAACATCCCTTAATAAGGCTTTTGACTTTTGATAAGTATAGGTAACTGAAAGCTAATTTCTTTCCTTGGCACCAAAAATCCATGCAGAGATATATTTGGGGGAAAGAGTTCAGTGAGAAATAAAGAGTCACATGTTTTCCTAAAAAGCTATATTAAGAATGTTGCTTTTAGATTAAATTGTGCAGAGAACTGGCATTATCTATAGTTTTTCCACATTATCTTCTATTGACTTGAGGTTGTGCCAAAGACAGTTCTGAGAGAAGTGCTGTTCTCTGTATCTTTGAATGATTCAGATAGAGGCTTTTTAGTGAAAATAACCACTTCTGTTAAGGTTTTGTTCTAAAACAGGGAGGAAAAGCGACTTCTCTATCTGATAAGGCATATAATAAGCCTCTCAAAAATTAATTTTATTTTCATTGCTTTTTTTTTTTTCTTTATTTTCAGGTCCAAAGGGCAGTAAAGCTACCAAATTTCTCCAGAGTTCAAAGCAAGAACGTACAGCCACTTGGGAGGATGTTATTCTGACTAAACCAGGAGGAATCATACAGATCCCAGGATACTCTTCACAGAACTATTGTGAGGTGAGGAAGGAATATTTATTATAATGAAAGGAGTTTGTGAATGATCCCTTGACAAGCAGCAAACCTTGCTTAAGGCATTATTTTCTACCTACTCTCCTTGAAGAATAGACTTTAAGGTAATCCCTGGTTTGAGGCCTTCAGAATCAAAAAACTAAATGTAAGATTGTCCCTATTGATAAATTGTGTACTTTCTCCACAAAAGAGATCATTTGCTAGGTAAAGTAGAAAGTCAGACCTCTATCAAACAGTTTTGGAGTTAGAAATAATGTATATAGGGGCTCCTGGGTGGCTCAGTGGGTTAAGCCCCTGCCTTTGGCTCAGGTCAGGATCTCAGGGTCCTGAGATCGAGCCCCGCATCGGGCTCTCTGCTCAGTGGGGAGTCTGCTTTCCCCTCTCTCTGCCTGCCTCTCTGCCTACTTGTGATCTCTCTGTCAAATAAATTAAAAAAAAATCTTTAAAAAAAAAAAGAAAAAGAAATAATGTATGTAGAGTCTTCTGGCACATACTAGATACTCAGTGAATGGTCCCTAAATTGCCAAAATAGAGAACATTCCTTGAATTAAACAATAGAATAAGTCTAAAGTGTGAAGTGAAAAGTGAAGATTTGTGTAACATCTCAATCCTGAGTTAATTTATGTGATTTGGGGGAGTTTGGGGCAAATTCAGACAAATTGCCAATCAGAATTTAGAGGACTATGCGAGATTGACCAACCATTCACCATGACAGGTGAACTTAATTAAAAATCTTAACAAATTATTAGAAATATTTTTAATGGTTACAATTTAAAATAAAAAATCCTTCTTTCACTGAAACACAAAGAAGCAGATGGCGTCAATAACAGCAATGCATAGAACTCTGAACAAAGTCACTAACAATATGTGCTATTTGGAAATCATTCCTGACTTTCTTTTAACTGTGCCATAGTTGCCACAGGAAGTTATTAGCCCCTTTACATCATGTTGTTTGCCTTGATATTATCAACTTCCAGATGAAGCCGACACCTTTGGCCTGTCAGGGTCACATGTGGGTTTATGAAGGATTAGGCAAAAAATTTATAGGTAACCAATATCCCATGAAGAACTGTGCTCTTGGTTTTTTAATGAAATAATCCCAGATTGTTTTGCATTCATTGTGACTTATAGATGATATAAATTGTGTGATACTGAAATAGCCTTACTATTTTTTAGATTTGTAATTGAGATTAAGCTAACACTCTTTCAGATTGAGTTAAAAACAAAACCCAACTTATGCTGCTTACTTGGGTCATACCTAGATTAAACTTGCCCAGAACCATTAAAAATAAAGGATGGATAAAGCAGTTTTAGACAAATGTAGCACAAAAATAATTGAGACTCTAATATTAATCAGGCAAAATGATATCCAGCAAAGAGGCATTAAATGGGCTAATTAGATAGTAGCTAGAAACCTCATTAAACTGATTTAAATTGATTTTTATGAAAGAAAGAAAAATCCAGAGTTTTCCAGATGTGCCACTAACTCAGTAGTTCAATTCTGTCAAGACTAAGTTTATGGCAGTTCTCTTGGCTTTTCTCTAATGGTTCCGTAATGGTGATTTTAGTTCACTCTAGGAAAATGGAAAAAGGTACAGAGAAGGAGTACAACATCAAGAAAACAAACACATTTCCAAGAATCCCATAGCAGATTTAAATCTTTCAACTGGGAGATGACTGAGGACAAAGGGAATGAAATGGGGCCTGAGCTGGCTGACTACCCTTACCTGATGTGCTAGATAACAGCCATCCAGATGGAAAACTGATGGCACTGGATCCAGATCTCAGTTCTACCACACAGTAGTTAAATAATTGGGGAATGTTCCCAAAGCTTTCTCAGACACTCTTTCCTGAATTGCGACAAGAGAGTAATAAGAACTATCTTAGCTTTTTATGTAATTTACTATCACTACCATACTTAGTCAAGGACACCTATGCCTGATGAAACCAGGTGGCTGCTCAGACAGAGAGGGTATGTGGCATTATGTTGACCTTTGACTCCCTAAGAAAGACCCAGATGCCAATATCCCTCCTCCCTCTGGCAGCTAGGATCCTGCCAGAGTTGATCAAACAGCCAATTGCTAAACCACTGTCCTTTTATTCTTTGGACTTAAATTACCACCCCCAAAGTAGATGCACTAAAAATCTCCAAGTTTCTACTTAAGGAATTGTTAATAAACGCTGGTAGTTCCTGGTTCCTAAGCCCATTTACTATCAATGAGGCCACATTCTCTTCTTGTGGAGAGAATGCAGAATCTGCCCCCAGTATCCTTGGAAATTATCTATACTTCTTCCTTTCTTGACTTATAGGATGTCTGTTACTTGTACTGTCAGTCAGATTGTGTTGAGAATTAAATGAGAATGCATGGTAATATAAAAGAAAGCAAGCTTCTGCCGTGTTTCATTAGAAATATATGTTTTCATTCTTATTCTTAAAATTGTGTTGCTTAGGGGCGCCCGGGTGGCTCAATGGGTTAAAGCCTCTGCCTTCAGCTCAGGTCATGATCTCCAGGTCCTGGGATCAAGTCCCGCATCGGGCTCTCTGCTTGGTGGGGAGCCTGCTTCCTCCTCTCTCTGCCTGCCTCACTGCCTACTTGTGATCTTTGTCTGTCAAATAAATAAATAAAATCTTTAAAAAGAATTATGTTGCTTAGAAAAAAAGATTAGACTGTTGTTTTCCTAGTGCCTTTTCACCAGTAGGGTATCAGTACACAAAGTTTGGAAGAACAAAGAAATAAAGAAAAAAGGAAAAAGAGTACATTATCTATATTAGTTATACTTTCTAAAGTTTTTTTTTTTTAAAGATTTTATTTATTTATTTGAGAGAGGGAGAGAGCATGAGAGGGGAGAAGGTCAGAGGGAGAAGCAGATTCCCTGCAGAGCTGGGAGCCTTATGTGGGACTTGATCCTGAGACTCCAGTATCATGACCTGAGTCAAAGGCAGAGGCTTTAACCCACTGAGCCACCCAGGTGCTCCAATAACTATCTTTAAAATAAATAAGACTCCTCAAGAAATTAAAAATAGAGCTTCCCTATAATCCTGCAATTGCACTACTGGGTATTTACCCCAAAGATACAGATGTAGTGAAAAGAAGGGCCATCTGTACCCCAATGTTTATAGCAGCAATGGCCACGGTCGCCAGACTGGAAAGAACCAAGATGCCCTTCAACGAATGAATGGATAAGGAAGATGTGGTCCATATACACTATGGAGTATTATGCCTCCATCAGAAAGGATGAATACCCAACTTTTGTAGCAACATGGACGGGACTGGAAGAGATTATGCTGAGTGAAATAAGTCAAGCAGAGAGAGTCAATTATCATATGGTTTCACTTATTTGTGGAGCATAACAAATAACATGGAGGACAAGAGGAGATGGAGAGGAGAAGGGAGTTGAGGGAAATTGGAAGGGAAGGTGAACCATGAGAGACTATGGACTCTGAAAAACAATCTGAGGGTTTTGAAGGGGTGGGGGGTGAGAGGTTGGGGGAACCAGGTGGTGGGTATTAGAGAGGGCATGGATTGCATGGAGCACTGGGTGTGGTGCAAAAACAATGAATACTGTAATGCTGAAAAGAAAAAAAAATTTTAAAAAGTTGAAAATAGAGCTATCCTACAACCGAGCAATTGCACTACTAGGTATTTACCCTAAAGATACAAATGTAGTGATCAGAAGGAGCATGTGCACCCAAATGTTTATAGCAACAATGTCCACAATAGCCAAACTATGGAAAGAGCCTAGATGTCCAACAACAGATGAATGGATAAAGAAGATATGGTCCATATATACACGGAATATTACTCAACCATCAGAAAGGATGAATACCAGCCTTTGTGTCAACATGGACGGGACTGGAGGAGATTATGCTGAGTGAAATAAGTCAAGCAGAGAAAGTCAATTATCATATGGTTTCAGTTACTTGTGGAGCATAAGGAATAACATGGAATACATCAGGAGAAGGAAAGGAAAAGTGAATTGGGGGAAACTGGAGGGGGAGACGAAACATGAAAGACTGTGGACTTGGAGAAACAAACTGAGGGTTTTGGAGGGGAAGGTGTAGGAGGATGGATGAACCTGGTGGTGGGTATTAAGGAGGGCATGTATTGTATGGAGTACTGGGTGTGGTGCATAAACAATGAATCTTGGGACACTGAAAAAATAAAAAAAAAAGAATAAACAGAAAAAAATAAAATAAAATAAGTAAGACTAACTGAAAATGTTGTGGGAGACTCAGCCCTGATTAAATTTCAAGTTAAAACCAGAGTCCCCTAAGGTTTTGATTTTTTTTTTCTTTTGTGATGAAGCAAATTTGTCAGGGATTTTTAACAGCTCTGATAAAGGTTTAAGGTAAATAACACAGGGAATTTTACAAATCGGTATTAGAAAAGTTCAAATCTATAAAAATAAGTTAATAGTCCCCAATATCTAAGACATTGAACAGGCCCCAATAGCAAAGATATCTGAAGCTGTGATTACATTTCAAATTAAAACTGGAGTCTCCAAAGCTCCCAACTGTTGACCCATGTGATTTTTGAGAACCTAAAGCCCTGGATTAACCATTAACTTCTTTTCACAGAGAAGAACCCGTCAGTTCCTGTACAATCTAAATTAAATCTCTTACTTCGTTTCTTGTCACAATGAAGTTGGTCCTCTGGACGTCTGTTTACTAAAGAAAGCAGAGCTTTTCTGTAAGAGAGAAAAGCTTAGTTCTTAGGATCGTTGTCTTGAAACCTTGATCCTATTGAATGTTAGAGCAAACTGCCTTTGTTAGAATGCTGGTTTCAGGAAAATACCATATATGATCACTTAGAGCGAGAAATCGTTTTTCATAGAAAGCACACCGATTGCTGTTCTGTGCCTCTTACTCATCCAGCTAGGCTGTGGCTAAATGAAGACTGGATGTAGCCGAGGCTCCAATACACTCCCTGTATATGATTATTTTATTTCAGTCTGGTGACAATAATTGTTTAGTTCCCTGAGGACCTAGCTAGATCATGTCATCTTCTTTTATAATAATCACTTTAAAGAGATCTACCCAGGTTATTCTAGACACTGTAGGAACTGGGTCCTGGGGTCTAGTTGGTTTAGAGCCCCATCCTTAGACGTGTTTGTATTCCAGAATCTGGAATATCTTTCTCTTGATTTTTTTTTTTAAGATTTTATTTATTTATTTGACAGAGACACAGAGAGAGAGGGAATACAAGCAGGGGGAGCGGGAGAGAAAGAAGCAGGCTTCCTGATTAGCAGGGAGCCTGATGTGGGCCTCGATCCCAGGACCCTGGGATCATGACCTGAGCCGAAGACAGAGGTTTTAACCCACAGGATTTTTTTTCTCTTACCTTGCTCAATAACCTTTGCTTTGATGTATGGTAAGTTTTTGTATGCTTCTTTGCTTTTTCTTTATTTGGGGCTAGGAAAACTATGTGGAGAAAATTCACCTTCATTAAAATCTCATGGTCCTCTAGTGATGTTGATTTTCACATACAATGTCAGTTTGCCCATGGAAGAATTTTCTTTGAGATATTCTTTTTATATTTCTGGTAAATCTATTGCTTTCTTATATGTTTATTGTATGTTTTTATTTTGTACTTTGTTAGGAAAAATCTATGATTAAACAGATGGAATGCTCTTATTTGTCTGCTTTAGAGGAGAAGTAAAGGACCGTGTTTAAGGCATGACTTCTGTAGTCTGTGGAGGCCTCAAGCTAAACCTCTATAAGGTATAAGATTGATCAGATCTGTCATTGTTTTTTAAAGCATCAAAGAATTTTGTCTATTTTTCTGGGCACTTGGATGATTATAATATGAGAAGAAACTTTTATCCCTAGCATAAAAGTTTCAAGTAGTTTTTCTCTTTTGAAATTAATTTCTTTAATGCACTAATATATTATTTTTCACCTGTTTCATATATAGTTCATTTATATTGGTTGCAGCTAGATTATTGAAAAACATGCTTTGCCTATTATTTGCCTATGATTTAGGTGAAAAACATGCTTTGCCTGTGATTTGGGGACAGACACTGATAGCATTATGAAAAAATTGAGA